CCGTCTCATGTTTAGCCCAGTCTCCATGTCTCCAAGCTTTGACCTCACCATCTTGTGCTGTTCCTCTCTAACTCAGACTCATCCAAACGCAGGCATTCTAGAGAGGAGAGGTACAACCTGTCGCTCACCAGATGATGGATGAGCTAGGGGGCCCTGAGTCACCTGCTGCTGGTAAGTGAGGCAGTCTACACAGAGGTGCTGACTACTCCTCGGGGGCCCTACACACCCCATCAGAATAATGGCAGTGCTCTTTCCAAACACGGATTAGCTATTATCTCCTCTCCAGCCACCCCTGCAAGTGCCAGCCGTACTAGTCTAATAGATAATGAGAATTGGGGCTTAGTATAAGGACCTGTGGAACTGCCTTGCCAGAAGAGAAATAACCCCGTTCTCCTCTAACGGACGCGTGTATTCCATATGGTCAAAAAGAGGCTTCAACCAGCAAAGATCCCCGAACAGGGAGGAGTCCAGCAGCATGTGCGCAGAGGGCCTCCATGTGTGCTGTTCCACATTGCCCATCTCCAATGCCCATTTTTGTTAGATGTGTCACTTTGCTATCAGGCCTGAAGTGGGAAAAATAAGTCAGGTTCAATTCATAGGATCACAGCTTGAAAGCTAGAAAGAACTTTCATAGTCATCTGGTCTAACTTCCTCATTTTACATATAAGGAAACTGAGGCTCAGAGAGGTTAATGATCTGTTCGTGGTCCCTCAGCTACTAAGCATTAGGGGTGAAATTTGTACCCAAATCTTCCTGATTCCCAGTCCAACACTCTAACCACTGCACCACATTGCTTCTCAATTCACTGTGCATCAAGAAGCATTCATTTAGTGCTTTCTGCATACCAGAAAGAGTAGTAGACATCAGGGATACGAAGGCCAAAAATGAAGCAGCAGCCCCTGACCTCACAGAGCTTGCATTCTACTGGGAGAATACAAAGAGTATGAGGATAACTAAATAATAAGTATACAGCTGTCCCTTCCACAGTTTTCCTCATTGCAGTTTCAGTATATCACAGGTCAGCATAAGAAATTAAATGGGGATTTGGGGGAGTTTTTCAGAAGCTGTAGGTGACACACAAAGGCCAGCAGCTGACACAGAAGTAGTTTAGAAATCCAGAAAGTTTGCAAAATATATCAATATATATGTACAATATTGTATAATATCAACCCAAATTTTACAATGCAGTCTGTAAATACCTGATAAAGGAAAAAGAAAAAAGTCAGACTTCTTCTCTGGCATGAAGGGAAGGACGAAAAAATTTAGATGGATTTTCCAGATTGTAGGGGCACCACACCCCTAACCTCTGCGATGTGGAAGGAATAACTGTATACAAAGTAAATACGCTGTGTTTTGGGCACCAAGATTTGGGGGATCATGAAAGGCTGGACTGAGTCCTCAAGGGACCTAGGGGCTCCAGGAGGCAGAGGAGCAGAGGGAACACATTCTAGTCTTGGGACACAGCCTGTGCAAAGATCCAGAGGAGGGAGATGGAAAACATCTCATGGAAAATCCCAAGTGGAGCAGTTTGTCTGAAACACAAAATGTCAAAAAAGTCTGGGAGAGTAGGACACAGTTAGACTGTGAAGGGCCTTGAATGCTGAACAGAACATTGTATTTTATCCTAAAGACAACAGGGAGCCCCTGGAGTTTCTTCAGCCAGTGAGGGGGGAGATAAAAACCTGTGCTTTAAGATCAACGTTTGTGTATTAAGACAATGAGATTCCGGCATTAAGTGCAATAAAAATCATTTCTCTGTTATGCTGAGTTGACAGGATGGCATTTGGGTGAGATCTAGGACTGGTCACTTTACTACTGTGCCTCAGTTTCCTTATCTGTAAGGTGCCTACTTTACCTGAGGCACTGCCCAGCTCAGAGGACTCTTGGGAGGAAAGTGATTTGTCAACCCTTAGAATGAGCTTTGATGAACACTGTCCTAGAGCTAGGGTTGGGAAGGACCTCAGAGGCCATCTGGGCTGATCCTCTGATTTTAGAGATGAGAAAACTGAGGCCCAGAGATGTGAAAGAGCCTTTCCAAAGCTGCCGGTGATGACGCTAAATGAAAGATTTCTAGGTGGCCCCAGATTTCTAAAAAGGTTTCGATGTCAAAGTCTTCCTACAGCTACGAGACACCCAGCAGGCCTCCTTCTCTTAGCCAAAAGAAAAACAATTGAACAAGCCAAGCAGACTAAGGAATAAGCAACAAGCCCGTTAGTGTTCACATGGGCCTCCTTCCTGCTAGGCTGCCAGGCATCACATTCCCCGGGAGACAGCCTCCAGCCAGCATCTTCTCCGTGCCTGGGGTCTGGCCTTCACGCAGAGAACTCAGCAGCTTGGTCTCCTGACGACTTGTTCCAGACTCAGGAGGGAATTGATTTCCTGCCCCCAGAGTTAAAACTACTGAGACAGGACAGACATTTAACAGCGCCATCCCTTCATATCTGCTTGCGAAATAGCATTCTGTTTCTACCTCTAACAAAGAGTTTGTCTGGGACAAAAATTCAGCACAGACTGCATCGCATGGTTAGGAAGCTGTGGGGCCGGCTGTCTGCACCAGCCGGAGTTCAGAGAGGAGGAGTCAATGTGTCCCTGGGTGGGCGGGGAGGCCAAGGGTGCTGGGCAATCCTGGGAAACCTCTTCTTGCAGCTGCTGCTCCTGACCATGGCTGGTCAGAAGGGTCTCTAGTCATCACTTTTGCCAAGTTTCCTGCCTTTCTGACGTTTTGAAGCCCATCAGTTTTACTGAGACAGCATCTGCAATGGTGATGGTAATTAAGAAAAAAACATTCCAGTGTAATGGAAAGAATGCTGGGTGCCAGAGGCAAAGAACCTTCTAAGGGAACCTCCCAAGTGTCCCAGTGGATAGAGCTCTAGGCCTTGAGTCACAACCACCTTAATTCAAATCCAGCCTCAGACACTTACTAGTTTGGGTGGCCCTTGACAGGTCACTTCACCTCTGCCTCAGTTTCTTTAAATATAAAATGGGGATAATAAGAGCACTTTTTTCCCAGGGTTGTTGTGAGGATCAAATGAGAGTTTAGCACAGTGCCTGGCACATAGTAGGTGCTGTGTAGGTGTTAGCTATAGTGATTGCTCCTCTCCTGCCCCTTTTGCCTCTCTAAGGCACAGCCTTCTGTGTGAAATGAGGAGATTGGACTCCATGGTCTCTGAGGCGCCTCCCATCTTTATATCCGGGCCCTATGATGATAAGGATGACTTTTCCACTTGCCTTCCTCCTGAACCCTCCCCCTAACTAGCAGCTTCTTCCCCTTTTTGTATGGATATGCAGTTCTGTAGGTTTAGCCCATTTTTATAGGGGAAGTAGAGTCCACAAAATAGTGATAAAAGACATGGTTTTAGAGTCACAAAGTCATCTTGGGTAAAATTCTGACCCCAGAATTTTTGAGCTAATTTGTGAACAAGATGGTCATTGGGTCTTAGAATCTGGAGGTACAAGGGGCCTCTGAGGCATCCATTCCACCCACCCGCCATTTTACAAGTGGAGGGCATCTGTTTCCTGGAACAGCTTCTCAGCTTTCTGTCCACCCATTTTCCAGGGCCTCAAAACTTCAAGCATTGGCAAGAATTCATGCTGTCTCTGCCAAACCCAAACCTACAGGGCTAAGATTGCCAACTCTGTTCCCAGGGAGTCTCTCTCAAAAGCCCCCAGGAGCTTGTGGGATGGGCCATGGAGGATTGTGGATCTGGAACTGGAAAGACTTTGGGAGTCATCTAATCCAAATTTCACTTTATGGAAGAGGAAACTGAGTCACAGAGAGGATTAATCCCTCTTCTAGGAGATAACCCTTTGAAATCAGACATTTATTCAACAAACAAGTTCATTCAGGTTTGCAAGTCAAATCAGTAAGCATTTGTTAAGACCTTATTTTGTGCCAGGCACCAGACAAAATTCTCAGAACCAAAAGATGGAGTGTCTTGTTCCTGGAATGGAAAGGAGGCTCCTGTCAGCTCATTAAAGAGTAGGTGGGAGGGGAGTAAGGTGTAAGAAGTAGGAGGGAGTGGGTTAGGAAGGGCTCTGAAGGCCAAGCAGAGCAGTTTGTATTTGCTCCTGGAGACAATAGGAAACCACTGGAGTTTATTGAGTAGAGAGAGTGATGTAATTGGACCTGCACTTTAGGAAGATCACTTTGGTGGCCCAATGAAGGATAGACTGGAATGGAGAGAGACTTCAGGCAGACAGACCCCCCCCCATTCCCCAGCAGCTATTGCCACAGTTCAGGAATGAGATGATGAAGGTCAGCACCAGGTGGGACAGTGTCAGAGGAGAGAAGAGGGTGTATTGGGAAGATGGTGCGAAGGTAGAAATGACAAAACTTTACTGATTGGATATGGGGGGAGGGGTGTGTACAGAGCCCTGTGCTTAGGTGCAAGGTGATGTGCAAGGTTTAAATAAGACTCTACTTCAGAGGCTTAGCCTCATGATGCCGGGGCACACAGCCTCCAAAGAAGCTGAGGGCCAGGTGTCTGTCTAAGTGGAGACCAGTTATTATCCAGCTTGGAGGGGTGAGGAACAGGCTACAGTGTGGCTTCCCGCCATCCCACGAGGACAGAGAGAATGAGTCAAGGACAAAGAGGGCTTCTGGGCTCCAGAATCTTCAAGAACTCCACTCTCCTCCACTGGTAAAGGGGATGACTTTCAAGGTTAAAGTCAATTTTGTGCAGAATGACCCAAAGCCCTTGTAGCATTCCCAGAGTCTAAGCCTATTCCAACAAGTCGATCCATGTTTGCTGAATAAAGTCTTCTCTTCTGCAAACTTGAGAGACAATAAGGGATCGTGGCTAGACCCTGTGGTCAGAAAGACCTAGGTTCAGGACATGCCCATGACAAGTATTGGTAAGGTGTTCATAGATAAGTCCCAGGCTACCCTCTGAGACTAGTTGTTCCAAACAAGTTGCTGACCAAAAACGATAGAAATTCTACTGTAATCTAGAGGAATCGGCACATTCTTGAGGTGTGTTTCCAAACCTATTTCCTCTCAGATGCATTGGCCTGCAGGGAATTCCATGAGAAACCGAAGAAATGGCACCATGGAGAGTGTGCGAACACTCTACTCCAGCATATCTCGAAGCACAGACCTGTCCTACAGCGAGAGCGTGAGTAGCTGCTGCTGCCATCACAGGCACAGCTTCTCCCCATCACCCTTGGTCAGAGCCTCCTTTTGATCCCGACAGGGGTGGGGAACCTGCAGCCCTGAGGCCACATGTGGCCCTCAAGGTCCTCAAGTGTGACCCTTTGACAGAATCCAAACTTCACAGAAGAAAGGGCTGCACTTGAGGACCTAGAGGGCCACATGTGGCCTTGAGGCCACAGGTTCCCCACCCCTGGTCCCCAAGAACAAAATGAGAACTGTGCTGCCTCTGGGGACCTCCAAAACTCCCTTTCGTTATTAAAATCACATTGCGTAGAGAATGTAAGTGTCTTGGTTGTTATCGTCAGAGTCAGATGAATTTCTTTCAAAGCCTTGCTTTCCATTTTGGAGTCTGCATGTAGGCTGTGACAATGATATGTTCTCTATCTAAGCAGCAACACAGATAATAGAGAGGGCTGGCCTTGGCAGGAAGGCAGGAAGTCCTGGGTTCAGGTCCTGTCTCTGCTGTACATTGGTTGTGTGACCCTGGCCAGTCATTTCACATCTCAGTGTCTCTGGCAACTCTGTGGGACCACAAGTTAGAGAAAAGCTGCTTATCTGCACTAGTAAAGGGAGTTTCCTAAGCCTGGGAAACCACAGGTCCGATCGCATCCCTATAGCAGATCACTGATGTGGATATGCCTGGATGGATGCCACTGAGGGGGGCATTCTCTCCGAGGATGCCAATCACCCCATCCATGCCCACCCATGCTAAGGGGCCCTCTTGCAGGACCTTCTCTGAGGTCCCCGATGGTGTTCTGCATCACCTGGTGGGGCCTCTTCAGGTCATCTTCGCATTAATCAGACATCAGTGAAGCCCAGAGGCTGCCTCCTCACCCTCCATGACCAGCTGGGCTCCTTTCCCCATCGTGCACCTCTTTGTTAACATCCTCAACACCACCTCTTCTGCTAAATTGTTGTGAAATACATACAGAGAGGGCTTTATAATTGATGAAACACTTTCCTTAAAACTCTCCTGGGAGGCTGAGAATGCAAGCATTATTGCTGATTTAAAGATGAGGAGCCAAGGGTTAGAGGGGCAGTGACTTGCCTGAGGCTTCTGAATCCAAAGCCAGCCCTTTTCCTCAGTCTGGTGATTTTCCACTGGCTGGACTTCCATTGGCTTTGAGTCTCCCCTCTTCCACTTGTTAGCTGATTGACAGGGAGCTCACTGCTTAACCTCTCTGTGCCTCGTTTCTCTTACCTATAAAACAAAACTTCCCACATCTGCTGAGAAAAGAGTGCTTTAGATACCTTAAAGCTATGGGAGCTGTTAATGCCTTTCAAGCTGAAAAGTGACCTTAGAGACCCGACAATGCAACACCCCTTGTTTTACAAAGAGGGAAAGGAGGCCCAGAAAAGAAGAGCAACTTTTCCACAGCCACACAGCAAGGAAGGAGCAGAAACAGGATCTGAATCCAGGTCCTCTTACTCCCAATCCAGAACCACTATAGATGCCTCCTAGGAATAGGGTTAATCCCTAACTTGTCACAGGGAGGACTTCCCAGATAAGTTATAGGAAGAATCTCAGTGTCTGCCTTTTTCTATTTCTTTCATTGTGTCATGTTCTGTTCATGCCAAATGACCTGTTCTGTTGCCAAAAAGAACACCAACAGGTTCTTTACAGGTGTAGAAAGGCCCTGGTCTTTTCTCCAACCCCTTCCCCTACTCACAGCTATTGACACTTATCCAATATAGAGAAGTGTTGCAGTGTATGCACCCAGGGCAAGTACCCTTACATATACTCCACAGATCATGTTCAAATGTAGAGAAGAGAGCACAGGCACCAGAAGGATGCCGCTGAGGAGGGCATGAGGAGGGGGAAGGAAATGCTTCTTCCCAGCTTGCAGTTGTAACTTCTAACCACGCCATTCAGGTGCCGAAAGCAGCTATTTCCATGCCACTAAAGAGAGGCAAGTTTTCAGTGCTTGCTGAATTCTAGCGCCTTGGAACAAAGTCCAAGGGGCCCCACCCTCGTAACAACTCAACATATGGAGCTCTCTTCCTTTTGGTCAAGTTGGGTTGAAATTTGGTCAGTGGAATTTTAAAAAATGACCGAGAGAGACAGGGCAGCACAGTTTGCAAACATTCTGTACAGGGTGGACAACGCACGTGCCTGTTTTTAGATGCTTTCCTTTTTCTCCAAATTTGTTTCTCCCATACTAAAGAAACTTGCCAGACTAGGTCCTGAATGAGAAACAGTCCAATGAAGTCCAAAGAAGGCTGCATTTGGTGGTTCAAGACCCAGCTCTGCCACTGACTACAAACGGGACCTTTCTTAATCAGTAAACTGAGGTGATTGGACTAGGTGACCTAAGGTCCCTCCCAGCTCTAGATGGAGGACTCCATGATAATAACAATCACCAAGCTGTAGGTAGCTAGAGGTCTCTGAGGGTTGCCTTAGGCACTGAGGGGCCAGGTGATTTTCCCAAGATCACACAGCAGCCCAAATTGTCAGGGGCAGGAACCCCCGCCTCCAAGTCTGACCTCTCTACTACACCCAGCTACCCAAACCTCTCTGAAGAATTACAACTTGGAAAATTACCATTGGGATTTGTGTATTACCTTTCACACCCTAGGCAGCTCTGAACACTTAACATCTGTTACCCATGATTCTTCCACTGATCTTTAGGGCTGTGGCTCTTTTCGTTCGAAAGAGAAAAATAGGGACGATTATTGCCTTTAATGCAACCTGAGTTTCAAGATTACTTTGTAATGTTTTGTTCTGTATTTTTGTCCTAAGGATTTGCTGAATTTTATTCAGGAAAATTTTAAGAAAAGAGAGTGTGTCTTCTTCACAAAAGATCCCAAGGCCACGTAAGCCACTTTTGCTTCTCTCGTGGGTTTGGCTCCTGATTACAAAAACGTTCTGTTCAATCCTATTCAACAAGCACATCGAGCATCTGGTGCATGGACAGCAGTGGTTTCATGCTAGGCTTTACTTGATACTTAACTGTATCTACCTGGTAATTCACAGAGGTATAGGAAGAAGAAATCCCATGAAGGATCCATACATTCAACCACCATTTATCAATCACCTACTGTGTGCCAAAGAGTAGGGTTTGTACTAGAAGCCACCTGTGAGGTCATCTGGTCCAATTCAATCCCATGAGCACTTAAGTTTCTGCTATGTGAGAGGCACCATTTTACAAATGAAGAGGCCTGAGGACCTGGTAACTGACCCACAAGTCTATGTAACTCACAGAGCCAGTATACAAACTCAGGTTTTCCAGCTCCAAAGCTGTGGTCCTATCCATTATACTGGCCAAAAAAAGGGCCTCAAGAGTCACTCCTCAGTGCTCCAGAACCACTAGGGCTCTGTGGGATAGGCTCCATCCATATAGTTTGTTCCATCACTTCATCTCCCCTTTGAGTATCATATAATCTTTCTTACTCAGGAACAAACTTAAATTGACACTACAATGATTAGGAAGTCAACAAGATATTCAGAGGAGAGTGTTCCAGTCTTGTCTGCATTGTGTTAATGATAGCACTAGCAGTGCCAGTCTGAGAAGTGGGTGTTCTATCCTGAAGACAATAGGGTTCCAATGGAGATTCTTCTGCTGCAGAGGAACATGATCAAAAGGGCTTTAGGAAGATGATTTTGGCAACTGTGAGGAGAATGGATAACAGAGAGGAGAGGCTGGAGGCAGGGAGAATTGTGAGGAGGCTACTGAAATGGTTCAGGAAAGACCCTGAATTAGAGTCCCAGATTGGGTGTGGGAAAAGGATAATGCAAAGGAAAAAGTTGAATAGGAATGAGGGCTCATGGGAAAAAAAAGAGTATAGGAAGATGCTGGGTTGTCTATGAAGGAGGGTGGTGCCTCAAAAGAAATGAGAGGGGAGGAGGAACAGGTTTGGGAGGAATGATAAAATGCAATAATGATCAATATCATGGGTTCAAAGATCTCCTCCTATCCCTACTTCCTAAGTACAGGATGGGAGGGGCAGGGTGAGATAGCCAATCACCTGAGAAAATAAAATCTGGGGTATTTGGATGGACTTCAAACTCATTCTGCATCAGCAGGGTCATGTAGCAGCCCCCAAAGCTAAGACGACCTTTGGCAGCAGAGCAGTGGGGCGTATGGGCCCATGGTCCTCCTGGCCTCTGCCCTAGTTCAAACACAGCTGCAGGATTATGTATAGTTGGGGGCACAACAGTTCACTAGGAATGACCTTGGTAATCTGGAGAACATTAACCAGCGTGGATGAAGTCCGCGTCATACAAGGATCAGTTGAAGGAACTGGCCATGTTCAGCCCCTGGAAGGCTGGGGTGGGGGGGGGAGGGACGCTCAGGGCTGTCTTCAAGCACCTGAAAGGTAGAAGAGTTAGCCTTGGGTTTACCCTCCCTGGAGAGCTTGCAGCAAGGGTGGGATGGCATTTATTGACTATTTTGCAGTGAGTTTTCTTTAGGGGCTCAGGGCTGGACTGGTTGGCCACCAAGGGCCCTTCCAACTCTGAAATTCTACAGTTTTGCAATTCTGTGATTCTAACTCTTGCAGCAACAGAAAATGCCAAGGGTCCTGAGATTTGTCTTTCCAGCAAGCCCACTGATCTGTGATCTCTGGTATAAGGGCTGCTTTTGTGGGCATATACTAGGAAGCCAAGATTTCTCAACACTCACACCAGGATTCTCAGCTGCAACATTTTTGCTAGAATGAGTTTCAGTGCCTGGCATCATTTTGGTTTGTGGCTCCTCACCCACCTCATACCACCTGAAAAGATTTCTGAGGGTGGTGCAGTCAGTGTCTTTTTACAATGTCTATCTGCCCTTTGAAATTCTCATTGCCCTTCAGGGACTTCCAAAGGAGCCCTTTCCTCCAGCGCCATGGTAAAGTAATATGGAAAAGCCACATGGCTTCAAGAGAGAGGGAGAAACTTGACCGTCATTTAACCTGGACTTGGGTGGTTTGTGGAGAAGCTATAATGAGCATCTTCTGAGCAAAGATCTCTTGCTGTTGTCAGAACTGTCAGACACAACCACCAGAATTCATGGGGCCATTATCGTTTCATAAAACGACTACTAGAAATGGCTCACTTTCATAGGGAACTGAAGTCAGTGTGGTTTGGAGGACGGAGAACAGGCCTCATGGTTCAAATCCCCCTTCTGATATTCTGACTGTGCATCCCTGGGCAAATCCCTTAGCCCATCAGTGCCCCAGGCAGCTAGCTCTCTAAGCCAATGCATTCCTAGCAAAGGAGGTGCTGACCTGTGTTGCCGTTAAAAAAAAAAAAAGCCTTCTCTACAAAGGAACCCAAGATTCCAACCCTGTCCCATTCACACCAGGTAGGGATTAGCTTTCTTCAGCTTGGCCACAGGGGGCAGACCAGGAGCACTGAGGGAAGATACAACAGGCAGATTTAGGGTTAGCCTAAGGAAAAGATGCCCAACCATTAGAACAGCCCCAAAGAAAACCAGGCTCTGCTTCTATGGAGTTTACCAAGCAAAGGCTGCTTAACCACTTGTCCAATAGATGGAAGCTCCTTGAGGACAAGTCCAGTTCTTCCTCTTCCTTTCGTGTGTCCAATACCTAGCCTAGTGCCTTCCGTATCAGGCTTTTGCTGTGGATTGAATTGGAAGTTGCACAAAGAGGATGAGAATTGGACCAATGGACGACTGATGTCCGTCCAGCCCCCGAAATCCTGTGATTCCAGAATAATTTTAGAATCATTCACGGGCTGAAACCTCAGCAAACAGCCCAGATCCCGGGAGAAAGCCCTGGAGCCTTCTGAGCGGCAGTGACAGCTCTCCAAAGCAGACACACTTCAGTGGATCAGAAAGGCTCCCCGGGCCTCACCCAGAACCAGTTGAACCAGAATTCTGCCAGGAAGTCGGAAGGAGCCTGGAGGGCTGAGGAGAGAAGAGGAGCCGTTAGGAACAAGTACGTTTGAAGACGGGGAGTGAGCACAACTGACAGTCCCCAGTCCCACCCCCGCTCCAAGGGGAGTGGGGAAAAAGTGATGGAAGAAGGGCTCGAAAATGGAAAGGCCGCCCGGGAATTTCGGAGACAGAGCCGTGGTCAAACACATATGGAGTTTTGTACAGATTGCCAAGCGCCTGAGGATGTTTCTGCGGTCACACGGGACAAGAATCTCGGTGCCTCCTGAGAGATCACAAAAAGCCTGAAAAAACGCTCCAGAGAACCTGGTCAAGTCGACAGGAACCGGTGCGCAGCGCCTTCTTTGTAAAGGCTTCTTGATGACTTCTGGTTTTCGCGCCAATAGTTCCGATATCCCCCTCCCCTAATGAGCTTCCCTTTGCAAGAAACAAAGACAGTCAAGCCAAACTGATGGACAGGACGCTTCCTATAACGTATGTGCCGTTCTGTCCCGGTGGGCCCCCCCCGGCCCCCCCACCACCAAGAAGAGTCTGCCCGCCATCTGTTCTCTGAGACCAAGGGTGTCCATTTCACACCTTCTCGTTTTTCGTGGTCATCATTGCAGAAGCTGGGGGTGCTGTTCTCCCTCTTACGCCGACTTCAAGCTACACCATTCATACAAGTTTTGCCAGGCTTCTGTGCATGAGATTGCTAAGGCAGATCATGGAAAAAGAGAAGAGGATGGAGGACAAGACTTTGGAGAGGAGGCAGAGGCTACAGGGGCTGGGGGAGAGAGGGCTAGCTTTGGAGGCAGGAAGGGCTGGATTCAAATTCCACCTTAGATGCTTGTTAGCTGTATAACCTGGGCAAGTCACATAACCTCAGTTTCTGCACCTGCAGAAATCTGGGAGATGCCATGATTCCAGAGGACCCACAATGAATTATCTACCCACCTCCTGAAACAGGGAGGTGGTCAACTCAGGGGGCGGAAGGAGACATACAATAAGGCCAACTTAGGGATTTGTTACAAGAGCTTTGTTGCTCTTTTTTTTTAACCCGATGGGAAAGCAGAGGTGGGAGGGAGAGAAATAGATTTTTTTTGTTAAGTGGAAAAAATTAAGTAAAATTTAAATTAAATAAGAAAGGTTGGAGTTGGTGGCCTCTGAAGTCCCTTCCAGCTTGAAATCCATGATCCCAAGGCATTCTATAACCTGTCTAGAGAAGAAGCTTGTACCTAGTAGGTGCTTTATGAATATTTGTTGAATTGAAGGAGTCCTAAGAGTGGTGAGAGGAAACTCGATAGAATCTGGTACTCTGAAGTCCTAGGAATAGAGCCTGCATCAGGAAAGGGTCACAAAAACATTGAGGAAGATGAGGACAAGAATTGGGCCACTGGCTATTTTGGAGATCACGTTGGGAGCAGAGGTCACTTCGAAAGGAGTTGAGGAAAGAGGTGGGTGGTGAAGAATTGGAGAGCCAGTTGATAATTCCAGTTTATCAAGAAGTGAAGTAACAAAGTCTGGGGGAGGTGTGGGATGGCTGCTAGACGGGATGGAACATTCAGGACTTGGGACATGATGCTCATGGGCAGATGAGAATGAGTCCCCTGAGGAGGCCGTGGGCTCCCCCTCAAAGGAGGAAGCGAACAGTCCCTGACCCATTGTTGGCTTGTCCGAGGTGGTTTCTGAGATTCCCTTCCAACTTTGAGAGTCCGGGATTTGGTGACCACATCTTCCTTACCCTTGGATCTCCCTCAGTGCCTCACTTAAAGTTCATAGGACAATATCAGGAAAGAAATGTGTGCTAAGTGACTATCTTAAATCCCCCCTCACTTCATAATAATTTAAATAGCATAAAAACAAGGTTTTTGATGATATGTGTAATTTTTCTTTGCTTGAGATGGTATAACTGTGTATTCATACAATATTTCAAGGAACCCTGATCTCATTGATACTTATATGAGTACCCACTGCCCTGATGCATTCATTCTATGAGTGAATGAGGGGAAAAGCATTAAGCCCTCAACATTTTCTAAGCACCATGGACAAGAATTGCTCTCTAGGAGCTACCTTTCATTCCAGTGGGGAAGATGGAACATTCAGGGATGTGGTGACCAGGGAGGAGCGGTTTGGTTTAGAAAGCTAGAGGGACAGGAGTCGGGCCATAGAGAGGCAGACTGACATGCCCCTTCCAAGCGAGATTGCAGGATCTATTTGATTATTGTAGAGAGCAGAGTGAAGCATGACTGAGGCTTTCTTGAAAACTAGACCACATGAGGAGCTCATCAATGGGGCGGGGGGGGGGGGGCAGTTGAAGAGCCCGTGAAGGATTCAAGAGCTGAAAGTATTAAGACATCCAGGGTGTGGTCATCGGTCCAACAGCAAGGTAGGGAGGGGGTGATTTGGTTGTGAGAAGATGACTGGGAAGGAAGAAATGTCAGTTGATAGCTTAGTTTCAAGAGGAACTGAAAAAGTGGGACCTGTGGCCCATCTGAATCTCCGGAGCCCCCTGAGCAGAACTGAAGTGATTTGCAGAGCACAGATATTCAGCTCACCAGGGTGCCCATCCCCAAAACTTGTCCATCCTTCGCCTGTCAGAAGGCATACTCCACTTGTACTGCCTTTGAGGTCCCAAGATCACCACCACCTCCATGCAGACCTGAGGCCTCAGAGGAAGGGAAAGACTTCAGGGCAAGAATCGGCTGTTAATTAAAGGAAATTCGATAACATTTGTATGTGTCTCCTGAAGAGTCTGTATGGATGGCTAATCCTTTCTTCCTCCTTCTTCCCACAATCTATCCTTCTACTCAGGGACAGCATGTGTAAATGTGGCTATGCTCAAAACCAGCACGTTGAAGGCACTCAGATCAATCAGACTGAGAAATGGAATTATAAAAAACATACCAAAGAATTTCCTACTGATGCCTTCGGGGACATTCAGTTTGAAACATTGGGGAAGAAAGGAAAGGTAAGTGTCCGTGTGACATAACCAGCCAGTCCGTAAGCGGTCACAACCAAGAATTCTTTGAATTGTTTTATAGGGGGTGTGGGGTTGAGATGGGATGGAGGGAAGGGAGAAGGCAGAAAAAGAAAATGGGAGTAGGGAAACAAGCATGAGGAGGAGGAAGGAGAATTGTGAGGTGAAGGAGAACACCCAAAATTATTATAGAGGAAACTACCAATTCTGATCGGGATAACCAAAAGCTTTGGCTCTGCTACTGACTAACTGAAGAGCTCAAGGAGGCTGCATAGCTTTTCTGGGTCTCTCTACCTTCATTTGTCGCATGAAGGCAGTGAACTGATTATTTATGTATGTTCCTTCCAGCTCTATATTTCTAAGATTGTAAAACTCATTGTAATGACTGGTGCCTCATAAGCACGTAGTACCAAAGCTTCAGGGCTGAAGGATCATCTAGTCCGAGACCAACTGAATCAGAATGCTAATTAACACTGCTGCTGTTGCTTCTTCCCCTCTCCATAAAGTACATCCGTTTGTCATGTGACACAGACCCAGAAATCCTCTATGAGCTGATGACCCAGCACTGGCATCTGAAAACCCCCAACCTCGTTATATCCGTGACTGGCGGAGCCAAAAACTTTGCCCTCAAACCTCGAATGCGCAAGATCTTCAGTCGCCTGATCTACATAGCTCAGTCCAAAGGTGAGGAAACACCCCATTGGTTGGTTGCCAAGAATTTTGGTTTTTTAGTAATCACCTGATGCATTCTATTTTTAAGTTCTAAACCAGAGGTTCTTGATCTGAATTCTATGACTTTCTTGTAAAGTATTTCAGTAACTTGTATTTTAAAATAATAGGTTTCCTTTGTAATCATATGTATTTTGCTTTATGTATTTAAAAACATGATTCTGAGAAGGTGTCTGTAGGTGTTCGCAGAATTTCAAAGGAGTCCAAGATACAAAGTTAAGAACTCTTGTCCTAAACTTACCAGTTATAAGCACACATATTTAAGACCACAAATTGGAGTTAGGGACTGGATCTGACCTTTCTTTGGTTTGAGGAACTCCCAAGTGAAGAAAATCCCTTTATGAATGCAGATTGGCACCTTGTCTACAACTTACTGTCTTAGAGATCTTCCTGGAACCCTGAAAGTTCAAGGATTAGCCTGGCATCACCCAGCCTTGATGTGTGAGAAGCAAGACTTGATCTCCCATCATCCTGGCTCTGAGGGCACTGAATTCTCCACTACATTTTGCAGCCCCTCTAAGTCATACTTCACCCCATATGCAAGTACTAGGAGCAAGGGGAAGATTGTGCATAAAACCGCAAATTTGTTAGTCGTAGTTTGCTTTAAAAATCTGTGCATCACCTTTAGTAAGATGGTAACAAAAACTTGCTGTCTCTGCTTCCTGAGCTCTTTTGCTTCTGGGTATTTTTTCCTCTAGATTCTGGTACTGCTTGGTCCTTATAATTCCCATAGGACCATAAAATGACAGCTGTCAAGGATTTCTGAGGCCATCTTGTCCAACCCCCTCCCTTTCCAGGGGAAGGAAACAGAAGTCTCCAGAGGTAAAGGGATTGGACCAGAGGCACAGGCTTAGAACAAGCCCCAGAGGGAGGACTGGCTAACAGAAGGCAGCAACTCAAATTTCAGTCAGAGTGTTTTCCACGTGCTGTGTGGTCTCCATGACTGCCTGAAAAGAAAAGACAGAGTGGATATGCCAGTAAGAAGTGAATGTCCTCAACACATAGGAGGAGTGTAAGAGGGCAGCTTGAGAAGCACCTTTGATGAGTTCAAGCCACCAGGTTCAAATGACCTCTCCCACAGGGCACCAAAAGCCTTGACATGCATTTGCTGAGCCATTCATAACCTGTGGTCCTGAAAAGATCAAAAAGGAAAAAGAGGAGCTAGAAGGTCAAAACGGGCACAAAATGGAAGACCACAGAGCTTGTAAACTCCAGGTCTCAATTCCTAGCAAAATTCTAGGGTTAGTGGATATCTAGAAAAGGAAGCAGTTGACCCAAGGAGCCAGAATGACATTGTCAGAAACAGCTCCAGCCAGAGTAACTTCATTGCCTTTCTTTACAGGGTTATTAGCCTGCTAGCTGTCATTTACCTGGAGGGCAGCAAAGCATTCAACATAGTTTCTCCTGGCATTCTCATAGGGAAGATGGAGAGATCACAGCTAGACGGACAGCAGTTAGGTGGATTTGGAACTGGTCAAATGGTTGGGCCCAATGCATGCTCATTCCTGGCCCTATGACAAGACAGCCAGGTGTCTTCAGGGAAGCAGCCAGTGATCTGAGGGTACCCTGTGCTGGTTCACATTTCTATTAGTGACTTAGGTAAAGACATAGATGGCTCACTTTATCAGCCTCCCAAACAACACAGAGTCAGGAAGCATGCCTAACACACTGAATGGTAGGATGAGCATTCAAACCTGTCTCAACAGGCTGGAGCATTAGATCAAATCTAAGGAGACAAAACCAAAAAGGGACAAGTACCAAGGCTAGCTCCTGGTCCGGGGAATCACTTTCATTCATCTCAGATCATATGATTGTCGAATCATCATAATATAGAGTTAGCAGAGAAACTACTGGCCATCTGCTCCAACGTCCTCATTTTAAGATGAGCCAAGGGAAGCCCAGAAAAAAGTGACCTGCATCAGCCCTTCCGATCATGAAGAGCAGAGCCAGGATTCTCCCAACCAATCCAGTGCTCTTTCCACTGTAGCATAGGAGGTGTGCCTAGACAACTGTTCTTTTGAGAAAACAGCTCTAAATAGACTGAAAGCTCCCCGTGATTCCATCGTGTCCTATGGTGGCCCAGAAAGCTAATGCAATCTTTAGGCTGCCTTAAAGTGACACTGGCCTGATGCCTAGGATGCAGAACGTGGTCAGCCAACAGGAGGAGGCTGTCCTGGTCAGGCCACATCTGGGCTATTGTTCTCAGTTCTGGGGAAAGTGATGAACTAGAGAAAGTCCACAGGAAAGCAGCAAGAACAATGAAGGGCTTCTGCCACGCCAGGAGAGGTTTGCGGAGGCAACGAGAGGGGCCCCTCCTCTCCCCTCTCACTTGACATGAGTGACTCCATTTTGAACCCTGGCCACCATGTCAATGTAAAATGAGCAGGCACCTCCAGACTCTTGCATTCAGGTTTACCTTCAGCCTAGTCCACGTGCAAGATATTTCATAACATGCCCCCGTCATCTCGAGTGTCCCTGTAATCACTGAAAGGAACAGTTATAAAATCATATCAGGAGTCATATCAGAGAACTCCACTCACTCCATCTCTATCTCTCCATAACAATGTCATGGGACACTGTCGCCTTGTACTTTGTAATCATTTGTAAAGTAGCAGAACTGCCCAGACTATTTACTTCTTCATTTTATACCATGATAGTGATTAGGAATTGCTTGTAATCAGAACCCACCCAGATAACAAAGAAAACACCTTTATTGGTGTAACAATAAAACTTCTCCTGACCTGTTACCCAACTTGGATGTGAGCTACGATTTTTTTTCTCCAAACACTAAAGGACCTGGGGGTTTTTAGTTTGAAGAAAAGGCTCAAGGTGGATATGACAGCTGTCTTCAAGGTCTAAAGGAGTCTATTGCTTGGAAACGGTACTCAACTGGCTCTGCTTAGAGCAGTGGGGGGGGAATACAAAGAGATCCATTTGGCTTGATTCTAAGGGAGACTTGTTAGGAGAACCATCCAAGAGTGGAATGATCTACTAGGCTGTCTCATAAGAGGTCTGAAAGGAGCAGGTGTGTAGCCCCCTGTTGGGCATTTTGAGGAATGCGCTTATTCTGAAACAGGTTGAACCAGATGATCTTTCATGCCCCTCCCAATCCTGGGATGAGATGATTCCAGATGTGAAGCTGAGCAAATGTTGCCATTCCACATAGCACCGGCCAAAGATTTGTCCTTAGAAAATGAAGCTTTATAATACACTGATGCTGAAGGCATCCCCAGGAGCCCTATAGTAAGCCCCAAGAGGTGGGAAACATCAGAAATGGTCTTTTCTATCCACAATACTGTTGCGGCTGAGCTCTCTGCATGTATAGAGCCTTCTCCTCCCCCCCCCCATTGTGCTCTTAGTCACTCCACATCTCAGATCCTCATCTTCAAAATCAGGAGATTTGGGCTACATGAAATAAACCAAATCAATCAATCAAATAGGTTTGCCATCTCTAAAATTCCATGATTTTCTGTCTTATCCTGTGGAACTGGCCACACAGAGGACATTCCATGCGTCACATCTGTGCATGATTCTAAGGGGAGGATTTCTCCAAGTTGAAGCTAGTGTGTGAATTTCATTGTGCATCATTGTTCCCTAGTGTTCCAATTGAATTCTAGTTTGGACACCTGTCCACAGGGGCATGGATTCTCACTGGAGGCACTCACTATGGCCTGATGAAGTATATTGGTGAGGTGGTGAGAGACAACACCATCAGCAGGAATTCAGAGGAGAACATTGTAGCCATTGGCGTAGCAGCCTGGGGAATGGTCTCCAATCGGGACACCCTGATCAGACACAGTGATGCTGAGGTATGAATGGCTGTTGTGAGGTGGCTGGGGAGGAAAGCTGAGAGGTCATGCAGGAACACTGCCCAGGAACTTTACAGTAATATCATCAATCAATCAATCAACAAGCATTTACTAAGCAAACAAGAAACTTAGGCAAATGCACACAAGTAAATAAAGGTGGCATACCTTTTGGATTATACATATGTACACGCATGTGCGCGTGCACACACACACACACACACATACACACTCACCCTCACAGTTTGGGCCCCAGGGGGCTGTTTTTGCTGCTAAGCTTTGGGTTCTAGGGGTGATTCTGAGAGGTTATATTTCAAGTACTGTAGCTCAGGAGCCCCCATGGGTGTGCTTCCCATTAACAATCAGCTCAGTGATTTCATTAGCTTTTGGAAAGGCATTCATTCAAATGACCTAATAATAATAGTTGGTCCATATTTTCTTCCCAAAAGCATGAGGCACATTCTCCCAAAAATACAGTGTAGGACATGTGCATGGTGAAGGAGTAACTCACATCTCCTCATACTTAATGGCTTGGAAGTCCTTTCTTGAATTGATATCTAACATTCTTTGCTGATACATAGACAACTCTATTTGAGGCTGCTTCCCTCCTTGGGTAACTATCTTTCCTTACCTATTTGTCCTCAGTACATCACTCTACCTCAAGATTATGCATTGGGCCCAGTATCTTTGATCCCATCTGGACATACTACCTGCCCCTGTTCTCATCTCTTTGATGATAGGGTCAAAGAAAGGAAGGTGAAGTGAATAGAGGGCCAGCTTTGTAGTCAGGATGATGTGCTCAGATCCCTCCTCTAACAGGTACTAGCTGTATGATCACTTAAATCACTTAAAATCTCCTTGCCTTAGGTGATTCTCTAAGCCAATAAGTTGCAAAACAGTAATGGATCTGCTTTAGTAAAAGGACTTACTCAAGACGGAGCTGTCAAATCACAGATGAGGACAAAATAAACAAATAATTACTTTATAATTCAATCCAATAATCATTAAGCACTTACCAAGAGCAAGGTAATCTACTGAGCACTAGGGATACAGTGCCAAAAGGGAAGGTGGTATAGCTTTTCTTCTTTGAATTTTGTTAAGTAAATGTTGCTTATGATTATTACACATTTCCTATACATTATCTATCCTTTCAATATTCATTGAAATCCTGGCTCTTCATAATTTTCTAGAGTTTCATGTGCTCTCCAAATCCTACTTTCTGCATGACCCAGAGCCATCCCTACCTAGCAGGACTTTCATTCAGAACCTAGAGGAGGATCCTTTGATATGAGGCCACTCAGTGTCTTCTTCCAGAGAATCCACTTCACCAAATCTCAATGAAAACTTTCACTGTGACCCACAGGGACATTTCTCAGCCCAGTATATCATGGATGACTTCAAGAGAGACCCGTTGTATATCCTGGACAACAACCACACCCACCTCTTACTGGTCGATAATGGCTGCCATGGATACCCATCAGTTGAAGCAAAGCTTCGGAATCAATTGGAGAAATATATTTCAGAACGTGCAATCCAAGGTTAGTATTCCAAGAAGGAATGTACATCACATTCCTTTGTTCAGTTCAATTCAGATGAATCCAATTGAGCAAATATTGATTCATTAAAAACTGACCGTGTGTAAGAGGCAGCATTGTGCAATGGAAAGAGACCTCCTTCCCCCTGCAGGAAGGCCTGCTCTAGCACTTCCCAGTTGTGTGATCCTGGGCAACCTCGAAGGGCCCCAGGAAACTCCCTAAGACTCAGAGTGGCCCATACAGTTACTGATCTGCACCAGAAGAGGGAGTTTCCTCACTGGGAATTCCTTATTCTCATGAAATCACACCTGGGTTTAAAAAAAAAATGATGGTGATGATGGTGGTGGTGAGTGGTGGTGGTGATGGTGATGATGATGATGATGGTGGTGGTGATGAAGGTGATGATAAGAGAGAGGAAAGGGAATAAGTATTTATAAAGCTCCAAGTATGTGCCAGGTCCTGTGCTAAGCACTTTATAAATATGATCTCATTTGATCCTCACAACCACCTTGGGAGGTACATGCTCCTATGATCCTCATTTTACAGCCGAGAAAACTGAGGCAAATACAAGTAATGAGTATCTGAGACTGAATTTAAACCCAGATCTTCCTTGCTCTCGCTCTAGTGCTCTATACCACGAGCTGCCTCCAAAAATAACAACAACAACAATAAAAGCTAAAATTTTTATAGTAATTTAAGATTTGCAAATCACTTTCCATGTATTATCTCAATCCCTATGTTTAATGCTAAGGACACAAAGACAGAAGGAGAGATAAATAGACTCTGCCCTCAAGGAGCTCCCATTCTGTTGGAGGACATAAACATGTATGCCAATAGGTAAATACAAAGACTCTGCAAAATTATTCAAAGTCATTTGAAGAGGAGTGGAGACTCCCCAAGAGGCCTTGGGTGGCAGGGGCACCTGAGCACTGCTTTTGCCCCTGGTTCTGTTTAGGGGATTGGAAGTATGGCTCCCGTAAGTCTGGCCAGTAGGATTAAGCTCCCAGCCCAGTCTGCTATAGACATACACTGTACGATCTGGCTTCCACAGAATGAAACAAGAAGCCATCACTCACTTCCTAGTTTCCCTTCATGTTGGTGCCTTCCCCCCACCATTGCTGTATACATTTGTGCTGTATACATCTCATTTGCATGTGTTTGCTTCCATGCCTTCTTCCCTGTGAGACTGAGAACTCCTTGAAAGCAGGGACTGTTTGTTTGTTTTTTAACCTTTCTTTGTATCCCCAGAGCTTAGCAGAGTGCCTGGCACATAGTAAGAGGTTAATATATGTTTATGAACTGGCTGACTTACTCCTTCTTCAGAGTGGAGTGGAAGAGATTCTGACCATAGCAACTCTTGTGTGCATTCCTCTTTTTTTGGGGGGGGGTGGCAATTAGGGTTAAGTGACTTGCCCAAGATCACACAGCTAGTAAGTATCTGAGGCTAAATTTGAACTCAGTTCCTCCTGACTCCAAAGCCAGTGCTCTATCCACTGTATCATCTAGCTGCCCCTTCATTTGCATTTCTTCAACGGTAAGACTGGAAGAGATTCTAGTGCATTTCTACAGGGGTAAGGTCAACAGGGACCTGGTGTCTGCTGCATCAATGACAAACAGATACATCTGAAAATGTTGGCAGCTTGCAATGTCCCCTGATGATACAAATCACTTTCAAAACTCTGTGGCGGAAAATGAAAGCTATGGAGCATGTTCTGCCAAGATGAATCGACAAAAACCTAAACACCCTCTAGTAATGCAGAATGTAAACTCCACTGGAGAGTAACTGGAGAGATGGATAGATATGGTTACACTCTATACATACTGCATATACATATATGTTTATAAGTATGTACGTATGTACACACATATACATATACTTACATACATGATTCCTCTGTGTGTCTATGCATGCACATATATAAGTATATGCAGATATATGTTTATAATTGTTATATATGAAACTATGTCCATCTTTCCAAACAATATTTTTTGGTTACCAAACCTGTGACTCCATTGATTTAGAGAATACCAGATAAGAAGCCTCCTTCTAGCCATGCAGATCAGCACTTCCTCTGAAATTTAGAGAAGTTAGAGTGTGACTTGTCCAGGGTCATACAACCAGTAGATGTCAAAGGCAGGACTTGAACCCAGATCTTTCTAGATCCAAGGCCAGCTCTCCATCTACTATACCACACTGCCTTTCATGTATATAAATATATCACTTAATATTATCTATGTGAGTAGGTTACAGATAAGTGGCTGTTCTGCATTGTTGGAGGGAATTTCTATACTTGGAGGTTTCTATGCTAAAGAAATCACAGACTTCTGGTTGAGTTATTTTCAGTCACATCTGGCTCTTCATGACCCCATTTGGGGTTTTCTTGGCAAAGATGCTAGAATGGTTTACCATTTCCTTCTCCAGCTCTTTTACAGATGAGAAGACTGAGGCAAATAGGGGTTAAATGACTTGCTCAGGGTCACACAACTATAAGTGTCTGAGGTCAGATTTGAACTCATATAGATGAGTCTTTCTGATTTCACACCTGGCACTCTATCCACTGCACCACCTGAAAAGGAAATCAGTTGGTATTGATTACTTTGATTTATTTTTAGTTTGATTATAGGATCAAGCTCCCTTCTTTAGGGAAAGCTAGCACTAAAAGATAAAGCAGACCAACATATGTATTGTCCTAAATCTAGGTTACCCGTAGATTCAGTAAATAGATAGATTGATAAGATTATTATTTCAGGGCAGCTAGGTGGAGCCATAGTACATAGAGTGCCTGGCCAGGAGTAAGGCAGATTTTTCACATATTCAAATCTGGCCTCAGACACTTACTAGTTGTGTGACCCTGGGCAAGTCACATAACCCTGCTGCCTCAGTTTCCTCATCTGTCAAATAAGCTGGAGAAGGAAATGGCAAACCACTCCGATATCTTGGCCAAGAAAATCCCAAATTAGAGCACAAAGCATCAAACGTGACTGGAACAACCAAACAACAAAAAAGAGTTGGAAAGCACATTCCTCACAACCCTGCAAAAATAAATGGGTGATAATATGTAATAAAATAGGGGAAAGACTTCTCAAAGTAAACTGCCTTATTTAAAAAAAAAAGACCATCATTTAGTGGCAGATAATTTACAGTAAAACCTAGATCTCTGTAGGAATAAAATAATTGTAGGATTGTAAGACTCTTTTTAAAGGCTGAGTTGCCCCTTCCTGGCAGTTGGGAGAAAGGGGGCTTGGGGAAAGGTTCCGTTTCTGTCTCCAATCTCAGTGGCAAAGATTTTGGGCTTTTCTTGTACTAGAGGCTAAGTCTCAGTTGAGTAATGGAATCTGCTCAGGTTGGCAGCTGGAAGATGGGGGTGACTGCTAACTCCAAATCATAAGTTCCTCTTTCCCAGGCTTTCTGCTTACAAAAGCCATGAGCCACAGGGCAAGGACTTCTGGGCAATCTCATTTTGACAAATTTGGGTGAAGAAAGCCTGGGAGAAGTGAACTAGTCAGATGACCTGTCTTGTCCATTTGAATTATGTTCAAAACCAGTTTCCCGGTTCGTGTTTTTGTTATTCTTCCATTCAGTTATAAAGATAACCTCTGTAAATCACTCCTTTGTCACCAGTTACTGAGGAATTAGTTGCCCTGATTTAATGGTAACTTGCTAGGCTTACTATTAAATCATTATTCGCTCTGTAACTTTGCACGTTCATTTCTTTTTACTTCAGTTGATTAATTGTAACACACCTAGCTACCCCAAACCCCCAGTACAAATAGGTTTCATGCTTATCTTTTGTTGTTCAGTCATTTTTCAGTCATGTCCAACTCTTTGCAACCCCATTTGGGGTTTTCTTGGCAAAGATGCTGGAATGATTTGCCATTTCCTTCTCCAGCTCATTTTACAGGTGAGGAAACTGAGGCCAATATGTTTAAGTAACTTGCCTAGGGTCCCACAGCTAGTAAATGTTTGAATCTAAATTTGAACTCAGGACTTCCTGCCTCCAAGCCCAGTGCTCTATCCACTGCAGCACCACCTAGCTACCTCATATGTTTCTCTTTTACTAAGACTAAATGAATTGCAAAAGTGCATTTCTTCTGAGGCAGAGAGGATTGGAAAGGACGTTCAAAGCTGGAAAATGACAGTCTCTCTTCTCTCTCACAGATTCCAATTATGGTGGAAAGATCCCTATTGTGTGTTTCTCCCAAGGAGGTGGAAGAGAGACTCTGAAGGTGAGTTCTGCTTTTATTCCTATAAAGAGCTCCCAGAAGCTCAAGAACTTGGAGTTTAACCTTCAGGGTGGGGCACAGGGGGGGCTTCTCCTTCCACACTGGAGCAGCCCATCCAAGGAGCCTGCTAGGGCCTTCCTCCCTCCTCCCTGAACCCCTGAGTGCCTGTGGGCCACAGCTCCAGGAGTTGCCTGATCAGAGCATGTGAATGGGCATGGATGACTCTGTCTGCTGAGAGGCTGACACAGAGCTGATCACTTTCTAATAATTGCAAGTCTGCAGAAGACAACTGTGCTATCCGAGAGATGGAAGTCTCTGGATATAAACATCTGGGGCATTAAGATCAATCAGACTTAGCAACCAATTCCTCCTACCCTATGAATACAACACCTAATCAATCACCTTTGGCCCTCTGGATGCTGAGCCTGTTCTCACATCTGTAAAACAGGAATGATAGCCGCAAGTATGTCATAAAGCTGTTGAGAAGCTCAAATGAGATGGTGACCTCCGTAGAGTGCTTTGTAAACTTAACAGCACAATGGAAATATCACTTATCATTATTATCATTATTAGAGACATTATTCTTTTCATTTAAAGAACAATGACTGGCACTCCAAATGTCCATTTCTCATCCCTTAGGTACCCGGGGCTAAGGACTAGACCTAAGACACTCCTGGCTAAGGGAATTCTCTGTGGCCTGTGGGTGGCTTCCTACAACTTAATGTCTGAAAAAATTGCCTGGAGCACTGAGTGGTGACATGGCTTGTCCAGGGTCACATGGCCAGAAGGGACCAGAGACTGGACTTGAACCTAAGTCTTTCTGGCTCTGAATCCAGCTCTCTCTACAATGCTACACTGCCTCTGCCATGTGGGAGGGAGAGAGGGAACCAACTAATTTTTAAATATGGATCCCATTAATTCATTCCATTCTGACTTATTATTATTATCATTATTGTTATTTTATAAAATAAGGAACTTCAGGATGAGCACCAAAAGTTTTACTGTTTTAAGTGAATAAAATGGCAACCCATTTGATAAATGGTCACAGATTCATCTCTGTGAGTGACCTCAGAGGACCTCTAGTTCAACCCCTCTTTTGACAGATGAGGAAACTGAGGCCCAGAGAGGGGAAAGCCTTTGTCTAAGGCCACAGAGCAAGGATCACAGCAGGGATTCAAATGCAGGTTCTCAGACTCCAGACCCCAGGGCTCTTTACACTATGATTTTCAGCAGTAGAACACTCTGGGGGTAAGAAGTCAAAACAGGCTTCTGTGGCCTTTGTGGTCAGCCTAGTCCCAGGGTTCACTGGGCACTCACTCTTCAGGCTGCTCCATCATCCTGTGTTTCCTCCACTGCCCAGTTTCTCCTTTCCATCCCCAAGGCCATCAATACAGCCATCAAAAATAAAATCCCCTGTGTGGTGGTGGAGGGCTCTGGGCAGATCGCTGATGTCATTGCCAGCCTGATAGAAGCCGAAGACTCCCTGGCATCATCCACAGTCAAAGAAAAGCTCATCAAGTATTTACCCCGAACCATTTCCCGACTCCCAGAGGAAGAAACTGAAAGCTGGATCCGATGGGTGAGTCAGTACTGAGGGGAACAAGGTTAGGGGATGAGACAGGACAAAGAAGAAGCAACAGGTAGCACAAAGATAGGTCTAGTGTTCAAGGGAAGCCAGACAGGAGAACTTTGTGGGAATCCTGCAACATTTTAAAGCTCCAAAAATCAGGATGAAAACATAGATTTAAAGCTCCAAAAACCATAGACTTAAAGCTACAAAAACCAGGATAAAAATGTAAACTTAAAGCTACAAAAACCAGGATAAAAACATAGACTTAAAGCTACAAAAACCAGGATAAAAATGTAAATTTAAAACTACAAAAACCAGGATAAAAACAGACTTGAAGCTACAAAAACTAAGATAAAACATACTTAAAGTTCCAAAAACCAGAATAGAAACATAGACTTAAAGCTACAAAAATCAGGATAAAAACATAGACTCAAAGCTAAAAACATAGACTTAAAGCTACAAAAACAAAACAGGATAAAAACATAGACTTAAAGCTCCAAAAGCCAGGATAAAAACATAGACTCAAAGCTACAAAAATCAGGATAAAAATATACTTAAAGCTACAAAAACCAGGATAAAGACATAGACTCAAAGCTACAAAAACCAGGATAAAAACATATTTAAAGCTACAAAAACCAGGATAAAGACATAGACTTAAAGCTACAAAAACCAGGATAAAAACATACTTAAAGTTCCAAAAACCAGGGTAAAAACATAGACTCAAAGCTAAAAACGTAGACTTAAAGCTACAAAAACCAGGATAAAACATAATTAAAGCAAAAAAAAATAGGATAAAAACAGACTTCAAGCTGTCTGGTTGCCTTTTGTCCTGAGGTTGTAGTCACTTCCCCTCCCCTGCTGCTCATCTTTCATCCTTGTAATAAATAAAAGCCAGCAGACACAAGGGACGTGAATATACCCTCATCCTTCCTTGTTCACTGGGCCTTGGCTTCCGCTGCCCTCAAGGGACCTTGTTGATGACATCAGTGTCCTCTGGGGCACATTGGCTTCCTCAGTTCCTTCCTCAGGCAGCATCACTCCATACAAGCCTTCATCTGTTTCCCTGAATCCCTCAGGCTCATCAAGTCCTACAGTGCAATTATATTTCACTCATGGAGGGAAATTTTCTCAGCCAGTCCCCAATCCTGGCCACCCATTGAGTTCTCAGGTTTTGGTGGGGGGTTTTATTACCAGAAAGAGTGAATGTATGAATATTTTGTTAAATATTGTGTTAGGTCATAAATATAGAGCGGGAAGGAAACTTGGACACCATCTAGTCTAACTCCCCCCTCTTTTTCCAGAGGAGGAAACTGAGGCCCAATTGGCTAGATTGTAAGCTCTTTAAGGGAAGGGGATGATTGTGTCTTTGTATCCCTGGTGCCTGACAAAGTGCCTGCCATGAGGTAGCATGGCTTAATAAACATGTGATTGATCAATTGGCCCAGAGATGTTAAATGACTTTTTCAAGTTCAAAAACATAGCAAGAAAAGAAGGCAGAAACAAGATGCAAACTATCCAACCCAATCAACATTTATTGAGCGCCCACTGTGTGCCAGGCTAAACACTGGGGGTACAATTAATAAAAAGTCGGTCTCTGCCCTCCAGGAATTTATAGTCTAATGGGAGGAAACAACATGCAAAAGGAGGCAGGAAAGGGTGGGGCAAGGATACCAGGAGGGGCCAGCCTGGGGGCATCTGTGGATTTGAAACCAGCAAAGCAACAGATGCTGAGGGGAGTGATCTGAGAGAATCCAATCTCTGGATCGAGGAAGGCAATGGGAGAGGCTCGATGCTCCACGCTCCAGCCCTCCAATCAGAGGGGAGAGGAGGCTAAGGGAAGTGGCGCCCTTCAAAGCTTGAGTGCATCGTGGGGAGATTGGAGGTGATGAGCTTAAGCTGAGACATCTTGTTCTGGGTAATTGATGCCAGGCATCAGGGCAGCGAGCCCTGGTTCCTCTAGATTCAACATTGTGGGCACTGCTCCAGGGTGTCTTCCTGAAGGACTTTTCTCTCTGGCAATGGAGGGTACTTTACTTTCCCAGTGATGCTAAAACTGAACCTGGAGCTCAAATCATCCCTCGACATCCATCTGTCCATCCATCCACCTATCCATCCATCCATCCATCTATCCATTCATTCATCCAGCCAGCCAGCCAACCAGCAAGCCATTCATCCATCCATCCATTCATTCATTCATCCAGCCAGCCAGCCAGCCAGCCATTCTTTCATTCATAAAGTAGTTTCTAAGTGAGTGCATGGTCCCAGCTGTTTAGGGAGATAATTAGCTGAGACAGAGTCTCAAATGCTCTCTTTTGATACTTTGTTTTGTGTTCCATACTATCAGCCAGGAGACAGAAAGTTCACAGCAAGTAAAAGTAGCGACACTTTATTTTTATTTATTTTTAGACATACACATTCCAGATTGAGGCAGCACCATAATTCTAGAATGATTGCTGCCCTCTGGCTCACTTTGGGATGTCAGCTCCCCTCTCTGGCCTTCCTCTGTCTCCTTGGACTGGGACTGAGGACTTATTGGAATGCTTATTCCTCTTCTCATTCCACTATCTCCCATGAACATCCTCACCTCGTGGATGTTTTCCTTCTCCTTCAGCACTGTTCTGTCAGGCTCTGGGGGAGCTCCAGCACAGCCTCTCTGCTCACTAGAGAGCTGACATTCCTTCAGATTTTGTCTTTAATTTGGGGCGTGAAAATTGGGCACATTTTAAAGAGATGGTGCCTAACCTAGCAGCATCTCTGTGAAAGAAAGAGCCAGGGAAATAAGGAGGTCTAAGCTGTGGACCATCAAAAGCAGACATTGAGTCATGTTTGCTCCTCAGCTTCCAATCACATCATGCCTTGCACATAGAAGGCACAGAACAAATATTTTAGGGTTGGTTGATAAGGATTGCTTTTCATTAGACTCTAATCTAATAAGATTATTCAATTTTTAAAAGTTTTCATTCTTAAGTTTTATTGATAAGCGAAACTGCTTTGGAGTCAGGAAGACATAGGTGCAAGTCCCCCCCTGGGACACATGGTGGCTGTGTGACCCTGAGTAAGTCTCTTAACTTCTAGGTGCTTCAGGCAAATTTTTAGTCTTATAAATGGCAGAGCAGGTGTTGGCCTGCATTGGTAAGGGAGATTCTTCTCTGGGAGTGCCCAGAAATCTTAGGTCAGAAATCAAAATCCTATGGCCTTTTCTTTTTACACCCCAGTCTTTTTTTTTCATAACTCTCTGTGCCTCGCATCAGTTGAACCTTTTCTTGTAGCAAAGAAAGCCATTTAAGCAAAGCTGACTCCAGCGTGGCATTGCTGGTCTTCTGCCCCCCAACCCTGCCCCAGCCAGCTCCCTGGTCACGAGTTTCCTCCAAGGCCCTGCCCTGCCCCCTCTTCTCTTCACTCTCCATATTCTTTCTTGGTGACCTCATCAGTCCCCAAGGGTGCCATTTTCACCTCTGTGCAGCTGTAGTATCTCCCCTAAGCTTCAGTCTTGGCATCTTGAACTGCCCCTGGATATTTGCAGCTATCTAGCCCATGGACACCCAAAACAGAACTCATTTGCTTCTCCCCCAAACCCATTTCTTTTCCAAACTTCTCAATTCCTGTTGAGGCCACTCCCATCCTTCCAGTGTTCCAGGTTTGCCCCCCTGAGTTATCCTCAGCTCTTCACTCTTCCTTACCTCACAAACTCAACCAGAAGTCAAAATCATGTCATTTTTTTTGGAAGGACTTTAGTGCAAGGATGGACCCTAAGTCCAGAGAGCCAGAGATGAAGCATGCTGCCCCACTCCCTGTCAGATGCGTCAGAGACTCAGAATGCAGAATGAGATACATCTTTGGATGTGGTCAATGAGGGAATTTGCTTTGCTTAACTAGGAATAATCATTATAAGGGTTCTTTTTTTCTTTTCTATTGGAGGGGAGAAAGGAAAAGATAAATGTTTGCCAGTCAAAAAAAATATGAAGTTTAAAAACTGTATTTAGCCCTGAACTAACATGTCTGTTGGTTGGTCTCATAAAAGAAAATACGTTGATTGTAAAAAAAATTCTTTTTTTAGGCAGTTGGGGTTAAGTGACTTGCCCAGGGTCACACAGCTAGTAAGTGTCAAGTGTTTGGTCTGAGGCCAGATTTGAACTTGGGTACTCCTGACTTCAGGGCCAGTGCTCTATCCACTGCGCCACCTAGCTGCCCCCATTGATTGTAAAAATTGTGTAATTTCTACCTCAGCATCTTTCATATATGCTGCCCTCCATCTCTCTTCTGACCCTGCCCCCATCCTGGTGCAAAGCCTTCAGTGCCTCTCACCTTGACCAGCAATACCTGCTGGAGGAGAAAAGGAGGGTCTGCCTGCCTCAAGTCTCCTGCTCGATTCAGTCCATCCAGCACACAGAAGCCAAAGTGGTTTTCTGGAAGCAAGGGTCTAGCCTCATCACTCCCATGCTCAATATATTCTGGTGGCTTCGTATCACCTCTAGGATCAGATCTAAACTCCTCCATTTAGCATTTAAATCTCTTTGCATCTTGGCTGCATCCTACTTTTTGCCAACCTTACTCCTGCACATCAATGATCTGGCTATCCTGGCACACCAGCTCTTCTTCACACAATTCCACATCCCATCTCCAGCCCTCTGCACTGGCTGCCCAGCATACCTGGAAATGTCCTCCTCCTCCTCCTCTTCCTCCTCCTTCTTTTCCTCCTCCTCACCTCCACCTCAACTCAGTTCAAGGACCACCTTCTGTGTGAAGTCTTTTTTGGTTCCCCCTACCCCTGGTACCATCCTCCTTCCCAATGTCCCCCTGGATCTGCCTTCCTTGAGTTTTGTCCTTCCCTCCATGTGCTCTTTGTCTCCCCGATCAGAACACAAGTTCCCTGAGAGTTGGGACTATTTCATCTTTGTCTTTGTTTATCCAGCACCTGGAACAGTGCCTGGAACACGATAAGCACTTAACAAATGCTTATCTATTGATTCACTCCTAAACTCAAAGGCCTAAGTGTGCCTTCAGAGTGCTGCTGGGGCTTGCCTAGCAAATACTCGTGTTCCAAAAAAAAAAAAAGTTAAAAAATTAAAAAAAAAAATACTTGTGTTCCCACTCCATTGAGAGCAGCCATTTGGAAGAGCTTTGCTTGGTCATTTTTGCTGTTGACTTTTGTTTTTTATGTCCCAATTATTTCTCCGATACTACTCATCCACCCCCAGCTTCCTTATTGAAAAGACAAATATTCAAGCAAAGCCAATCAATAGGGGCTGCATCTGACAGCGTATCCCACATTCTCCATCTGGCGTCCTCGCCTCGCCTACAATTTTGTTGGAGGCAACATTTACCTGCATATATGTCTGTTCTTAATACTGTATATATCCATCCTCATTCAGCTAGATACTGGATTATGGTGCAAAGCTGGGAAGCCAACGTGGTAAGTCACGTGTATGAGAGAAGGATCCCATTTAATCCCCTGAGCATTTACAGCATATCTACAGTGTGCCAGGCACTGTGTGAATGAAGTGCTGGGACCACAAAGGCAACAATGAGGCAGTCCCTCCCTACAGATAAGTCTACCCATACTAACCACTAACTTTATACGTGGGCATGACAACAGAGATTCTCATGTATGCTGCTTGTCTCTAAAGGGGGCCACAGAGGTTCTAGTTCACAAACAGAAGGTAAGGGAAAGCCAGAGAGAAAGAGACAGAGGTAGAAAGACAAAGAGAGAGACAGACAGAGGGGAGGGGAGAGAGAGAGAGAGAGAGAGAGAGAGAGAGAGAGAGAGAGAGAGAGAGGGAGGGAGGGAGGGAGAGAGAGCCCATCAGTACCCATCAACACCAGGCTCAGTTTACATAATATGTTTTTATTTTTCATTTTGGCAGCTCAAAGAAATCCTCGAAAACCCTCACCTGCTGACAGTTATTAAGATGGAAGAAGCTGGGGATGAAATCGTGAGCAATGCCATCTCCTATGCTCTCTACAAAGGTGAGGAGATCCTACTGCTCACCAGGAATGTTGACTTGGGGCTGTTTTGCCCACTGCCTTCACTTTGAAATCTGGGTTTGGAATGGAGGTCATTGAAGAACAGAGGACTTAGCACCTTCCTGTGGGGTTAGAGCTTGTGAGGCTGGAGCAAGGAAAGGTCTTTTGTAGTATTCTCCACTGACATTCTTCTACACCATTTCAACACAGCACCCAGGGGACCCTGGGCTCTCAAAGCATGTGAATTCTGGTATGCTACCAAGACCTTAAGTCACTTAACCTTTACTTGACTCAGTTTCCTCAACTCTAAAATAGGGATAATAATAACAGCTACTTCCAGGGTTATTGTGAGGCTCAAATGAGATAGTATGTGCAAAGTGCTTAACACAATGCCTGACAAACAGTAGGTTCCATATAAATACTTATTCCCTTCCCTTTCCCCTTCCCTTCTAAGCACCTCAGTTTCTTCTTCTGTAAGATGGGGATATTTTCCTTCCTCATAGGTTTGTTTTACAAACATCAATGACCTGTATTTAAATGAAAATTACTATACTTACTCTAAGTGATTAAAAGAGAGGAAGCTTTCCTACTGATGATGAAATCCTGCCCTGGGCTCCTGTTCTCTACCACCCAGCCCAAGAACATCAAAGGGACCCCTCAAGCAGACCCATTCTTTCTCTAATGAAATCAGCCTAACAATCTAGGAGGGGAGAAATGAAAGGACAGAAAATGGCTGATATGCTGCTCAGCAGCTCCTTAGTGCCTCCTCTGGACACAAATTATTGTTTACAGGACTTACTTACCAGGGTAATGGTGTGACTGACCCCAATCTAATGTGAACTCCTTAAAGACAGGGACAGGCTTCTATATCCTAAGTGCCCTGCACATAGTGGGTGCCTAATAAATGCTTATTAGATTCTGAATGGAGTCAACTCATGTATTTGGGACAAGCATTAAAGATGGGTTGGGAAATTCTGCAGGCTTTTGAATGACCCTCACGACTCACTGATACAGAGACCAATCTTATAAAAAGTCCATGAGAGCATTCGCCCAGTGATGCTGCCCAAGTGCAAGCCTTCAAAACACAAACATTGTCATTATAGGATCATGGGATTGAGGCCCATAGGGGCTTCAGATTGAGTAAGTCAGAGGTGCCAAACATGCTTTCCTGCTGAATGGTGGCAGCCCTCCCAAGTGTGACCCCAGCTCAGTCAAATGGCATTGGGAGATACTTAACCAAATAAATAAAAATACAGCAAAACATAGATAATGTTAACGTGGGGTTTTCTAGGTCAATATATTTGTCCACAGGGATCCTTATGGACAGTTTAGTGCCCCCTCCCCCCATTTCCATTTGAGTTCCACACCACTGGTCTAAGTCAACTCCTTAGATCACTTTCCAACTAGGCAAAGTTATAATAATCATGGGATCTTAAGATCATGAGTTTAGAGCTGGAAGGGGCATTAGAGGTAATCTCATCTAAGCCCCTCCTTTTACAAGCTAGGAAACTTAGGCCTAAGGAGGTCAAGTGACCAAGCAGGGAGTTGAGATTCAAACCCAAGCCCTCTAGCCACGTGTCTCTTGCTTTGGGGGGGTTACCTCACACAGCATTACCACTGCATGCATTGTCACAATCGGAGCTTTGGAACAAAGTGTAAGTGTAAGGATAGATTAACAATCACCTTAAGCACTGTCTGTCACCTCCGGGTCCAGATAACTACTGTAGGCAAACCCAGACAAGCCCCCTCCTGCCTCAATTTTTGGTGGTTTTCACCCTGCTCCCCTCCCTTCACCAGCCTTCAGCACCAATGAGCAGGAGAAGGACAACTGGAATGGCCAACTGAAGCTGCTACTCGAGTGGAACCAGCTAGACCTGGCCAATGAGGAAATCTTCACCAATGACCGCAGATGGGAGGTGAGGAAGAAGCCAGCTGGGAAGATGGTGGCTCACTGCCAAACCCAGTCCAGGCAGAGTGGGGGGAATCTTTAAGAGAGTTTCACCTCTCACACTTTGTAAAGACCTTTCCATTCTGGTTCACCAAAGTCATAACTGCAATGACACTATCCCAAAGTCCTGACCCCTGAGCCCTCGGCTTGGGGTCATGCCTTTTTCCTCCTTCAGCTGCCAGCTTCCTGGAAGGCAGATGATGCAGTGCATAGAGGGATGGGCTTGGAATCAGGAACAGGAGTTCAAATCCAGCCTCAGACATCTATTGTGTGGCCCAGGAAAAGTCACCTGTCTGCCTTGGTTTCCTCAACTGTAAAGTGGGAATCTAATTTAGTTAGTTAGTTGGTTTTAGTTTTCAATATTCACTTTTATAAGATTTTGAGTTCTAAATTTTTCTCTCTCCCTTCCCTTCCCTTCCCCCTCCCCAATACGGCATGCAATCTGATACAGGCTATACAAGTACAAACCATGTTAAACGTATTTCCATATTAGTTGTGTTGTGAAAGAAGAATCAGAAAAAAAGGGAAAAACCATGAGAAAGAAAAAAACAACAAAAGGGAAAATAGCCTGCTTCTATCTGCATTTGGACTCCAGAGTTCTTTCTCTGGATGTGGACAGCATTTTCCACCATGAGTCTTTTGGAATTGTCTTAGATCCTTGTATTGCTGAGAAGAGCTAAGTCTGTCAAAGTTGGTCATCGCACAATGGTGCGGTTACTGTGTACAATGTTCTCCTGCTTCTGCTCATATGGTGGGAATCTTATCAGCACCCACCTCCTAGGGCTGTTGTGGGAAGTACAGGAGATAATATTTGTAAAATGCTTAGCACAGCCCCTGATACATAGTAGGTGCTTAATGCTCCTTCCCTTTCCCATTGCCAGTCTGCCGACCTTCAGGAAGTCATGTTCTCAGCCCTGGTGAAGGACAGGCCCAAGTTTGTCCGCCTCTTTCTGGAAAATGGCCTAAACCTGAGGAAGTTCCTCACCAATGATGTCCTCACCGAGCTCTTCTCCAACAATTTCAGCAGTCTTGTGTACCGCAACCTGCAGATCGCCAAAAACTCTTACAACGATGCCCTCCTCACCTTCGTCTGGAAGCTGGTGGCAAACTTCAGAAGAGGGTACAGGAAGGAAGACAGGAGCAGCAGGGAGGATCTGGACATCGAGCTCCAGGTTTGAGACAGGCAGAGTAGCCAGCTCAATCCCAAGGGTTTTTCTGACACCCCTTAAAAAGTGCATTAAAATATGGTCATTGTCAGATGCTTTGGGGGGGGGGGGAGATTCAATTAAGGTGCTAATGATTCTGTCCTTTCCTATCCCACTGACCTTGGGCAAGTCACTGAGCCCAAGGTTCCCCACCTATAAAATGATGGGGTTGGACTCAGTTATCACCAAGGTCACTTCCAGGTCTAATATAAATGATCCATCTATACCAGAGTACTTGTGTGACCTTGGATCTAGGGAGGGGTGAGACGTTGGACAATAGTCCAGTTCCAAAGCAATTCTGATAGGCTGGGGCCTTGGGCTGAATTTACTATGGTGGAATTCAATAGGAACAAATGTAGTCTTAGATTTGGGCACAAAAACAACTTCACAGTAGGAAATGGGGAGGCAAAGTTAGACAGAAGATCTTCTGACAAAGATCTGGGGGGCTTAATCTATTACAAACTCAATCTGAGTCAGCAGAAGCTGTGAGTTAATGCAATCTCAGGCAGCCTTCAGAGGGTCAGAGCTTCCAGGAAGAGGGAAGAGATAGACCATCCTTCTGCCCTGTGCCCAGTCAGACCTGGCTGGATGACTGAGTTCCCTTCTGGGTTTCATAGTTTAAGGAGGACATTGATGGTCTGGAGAGGGTCCTGAGGAGGATGGCCAGGATGGGCTTGCAGTCCTATGCTATGTATGACCTTGAGTCCTGACTGTATGAAGCTCTGTTGAAGGAAGTAGAGAGGTTTAGCCAGAGAAGCCACCATGGAGTTGGGGGGGGGGGCGGGTGGAATAAAAGCTGTCTTCAAGTATTTGAAGAGCAATTTGACATCATCATTAGAGTAAGCATTAGCGTCAGGCCCTAAGCTTTACAAAGCACTTTGTATGTTACTTCATTGATAGATTCATTTTGTTTGGCCCTAGAGGATAGAGCCAGAAACAATGGGTGACAGTTGTAAAGAAATTTAGGCTGTATTTCAAGCAAAACTCCCTACCAACGAGAGCTGTCCTCACATGGAAGGGTGGCCTGGAGCAGCAGTGGACCGCCCTTCACTAGAGGTCCTCCAGCAGAGGCTGGTTGACCACTTGTCCAGTATTTTGTAGTGCAGCTTCCTTTCATGTGTGGTTGGACTCCAAGGATGGGGAGGGCTCTTCCAGCTCTCAAATTCTGTGATTCTGTGGTGTTTGCATTGCCTTGACTTCTTCCAGAGCTATTTAATAGATCCCTGATGGGTTGGACCAGGTGGCCTCTGAGGCCCTGTCTAGTTCTAAGTTCTATGATTCTAAGATCTTTCCTGGCTCCTTCTAGTCTTCATTCTATTTGGGCTCAATAACTAGCCTGAAAAATCTATAGAAGCAAAATAACATCTATGCTTACACAGGGAAGAATCATTCTTAGCCTGCTCAATTTCATGGATGGCTTCATAGAGAACATGGCAGGTAACTCTTCCTCCAGTTACTTTAGTCTCACTTTATGCTGGGACAAGAACTAAAAGTCTGACTGACTTCAAGTACTTAAGAGGTCATCCTATGGGGGGGAAAAAAAGGATTTGTCTTGTTCTGCTTTGCCCCCCGAGAGCAGAACTAGGGGCAATGAGAGGGGCCATTTAAGCCTTGATTCCAGGAAAAACTTCCTAAAACTTAGAGCTGTCCCAGAGTGAAGTGGGCTATCTCCCTGGAGATCTTAAAGCAAAGGCTGAATATCTTTTCCACCCCCCATAAGCTACTTTGTATATATTTTGTTTTTAATTTGCAATGTGAATGCCATTTCCCCACCTCTATCCCCAGAAGAATGTAAGCACCTTGAGGGCAGGGTCTGTTTCATTGTTTCTCTTTGTATCCCCAGCACCTAGCACAGTGTCTGGCTCAGGAGAGGTTCTTAACAGAGGCTTGCTGAGTGGATGCGTGATCACTTAGTAGGTCTGGGGAATTTTGGAGGTGTCTGGGTCCAGCTAAGCCACTGCTGCTACTAAAGTTCCTCCTGCCTCTAAAATTCTGTGATTCTGTGACTAACCTGCTACATTACTGAGATCAAACCATGGGGTTGCTTTTATGGACTCTTTTCTTCAAATTGCATTGCCCTCTAAGCAGGGATCACTTTCCTGAGGGTTCTTGGGCCTCATTTTTCATTTTTATAGTGAAGCAGATTTGAAGTCAAGTAACCAGTTGTGTGACCATCAGTGCCTTTCATGTGGCTGATACTTGTTAGCACACATGGCATCATTCCCCTCCCTCAGTGCTGACCAGATGTCCTCCTCCTCTTCCTCTCAGGATGTGTCACCAATTACAAGGCACCCCCTGCAAGCCCTGTTCATCTGGGCCATTCTGCAGAACAAGAAGGAGCTCTCCAAGGTCATATGGGAGCAGGTAAAAGCCCTGTCCTTTCCCCTCTGCCATTTTCCTCCCTGGCTTTCCCAGGGCCTGGGGGTCCTACTCCCAGTGTTTTTATCAATGAAATGAAATGTTTGTCTGGCAGAAGGACATCTTCTAAGGGACAGCTTACCTCTTATCCTTATTACCTGTGTGACCTCGGGCATGTGACTCCATGTGCCTGGGCCTCAGTTTCCTCATCTGTAGATGAAGGCACCAGACTAAATGCCCTCCAAGGTTCCTTCTAGCTCTAAATGTGTGATTATAGGATTGTATGCAAAAATCAAATATAACCTATTGTTGTAGAGGCAAAGAATCCCTGGGTAGAGGAACTGACAGGCTGAATAGTTTGCCTTAAGTTTCTGCTGTTATCTTCTTTCTTTCCTCCCTTTTTTGGCCTGCCCCAGGATATGACCATTGTAGCTGGCTTCTCCCCTGAGGCCAAGCAGCAACTTGTCTGTAAAATGAGTTAGAATTGTATCTGAGTGGAAAGGGAGCTCCAAGGTCATGTGGGCCAACACTGCCATTTTGCTGATGAAGAAACTGAGGCCCATTCATGTTAAAGTACTTTCTCCGAGGTCCCCAAGGGAAGAAGCAGCAGAGCTGGCCCTGAGGCTCACATGAGTCCCCTTCCTGGAGGCTGCCCATCACTCTTGGTGACCTCTGTCCCCTTCTAACTCTAGGTGTTCCAGCTCCAGTTCACATCTGTATTAATGGGTGGGTTTCAGGTGATGGAGAGGGGATGATGAGAACAAAGGCCCAGGAGTAGGAAAGCACAAGACTTTTATGAAATGGAGAGCTGAGTGAGACACTTATCTGTGAGGGGAGGAGGGTCAGCATAGCCTTGAACACCAGGATTTGCTAAACCAGAGGCGTCCTAGCAGTGACCCATCACTCTCCAGCTCTCCTGCAGCTGACTGATGGGCAGTACAGCGGTTAATGCTCTGGACTCAGAGTCGGGAAGACCTGAGGCCAATTCCTGCTTCAGACCCTTACTGGCTGTGTGACTTTGGACAAGTCATGTGCTCTCTCTAACCCTCAGTTTCCTTCTCTGTGAAATGGGAATAATAATGGCACCTACCTCCCAAGGTAGTCAAGGCTCCAATGAGACATGAATGTAAGGCCCTTGACAAACCTTATATGGGGCTGATGTTGATTGGAACCAATCCTGACACTGTCCTGGTCCCTCCATAGACCAGAGGTTGCACTCTGGCAGCCCTGGGAGCCAGTAAGCTGCTGAAGACCCTCGCCAAGGTGAAAAATGACATCAATGCTGCAGGGGAATCAGAAGAGCTGGCAAATGAGTATGAGACTCGCGCTGTGGGTGAGTGGCCAAGAAGAGAAGGCCCACAGTCCAGGGTGCTGGCAGCCCTGTCCTGGCTCATGGCTCTCCTGCTCTGCTCCTCTGAGACAGGAGTAGCCTCAAATCCCAGGTCACTGGCCTCTAGTTTGCAGAGGCCACCCTCTGCCTTTCTGCCATTTGTTACCATATCTCTCCTTCCCATTCTCCTGGCTTTCCAATCTCATAGTACATCATCTTCGGTCACTGCTGCCCAATCCTTCAGTGCCTGATGGTAGCTCAGGGGGTCTGGTGACCTGATCCCATCATGGGCATCTCTGACTCAGCCTATTTATCCTGCCCATGAATCTGCTATTAGCGATTTTTCTTATGAGTTTTCTTGTCCAAAGGTCATGTCTCTTCATCTCTCTCTGTACCTCTCTCCAACTCTTTCTTTAGCTCTTTGTGCCCCTCACTGTCTCTCTTTCTGCATCTTTCTCCTTCTGTCTGCATTTCTTTTCTTGTCTCTCTCTCTCTGTCTCTCTGTAACTATGTTTCTCTCTCCCTGTCTTGGACTCTCTCTGTGTCCCTTATTATCTCCTCTGTGTCTCTGTCTCCCATCACATTTCTGTTTCTGTGTCTTTCATCACGTCTTTCTCTCTGTGTGTCTCCATCTCTCTCTGTCCCCAGAGAGCTCACTCTGTCTCTCTTCATGTCCGTCTCTGATCCTCTTTGTCTCTGTCTTAGAACTCTTCACAGAATGCTACAGCAATGATGAAGATCTGGCCGAACAGCTCCTGGTGTACACCTGTGAGGCCTGGGGTGGCAGCAACTGTCTGGAACTCGCTGTGGAAGCCACAGATCAGCAGTTCATTGCACAACCAGGAGTCCAGGTGAGAATCCGTCCAGCTCGATGTGAGTCTAGAAAACATCCAGACAGTGGGCACTTCCTCATCAGATCACGGGGACAATCGCCAGCAATGCTCCTTTTCTGTAGGAAAAATGTGGCAAGGGAAAGAGGACTAGGTTGGATAAGCCTTCTGACAGCACCCCCAGGTCCAACTATGCAGGCACAGCTGATCAAAGAGGCTTCCATCAACACTTTCAGGAGGGTTTTCTCTGTGTTTAAACTCACTTTGACTTAAATTGGTCTCGACTAGACCTCCTTCTCGGTTCTGAGCTTTGCTCCTCTCCCTCATGGAGGCACCAGCTCTCTGTCTTCTGAGATGATCTCTAGCCATGCGCATAAACCTGCAATCCCACCTGAACATGATGTGCTGCTGGGCATTTTTATTTACCTGACATTTGAGATACTAGCAAGAGGAAGCTGCTCCTGTCCAAGGGCAGCTCCTTGATGGTAGGGACTTGTCTTTACCTCCCTACTATTTTGTATATTTCCTGGTACACAGCAGGTCCTTAATAAATGTTTATTTGATTCAATTGAATTGAAGTTGTTTGGGGTAGCAGAAAAAGCTGAAGTGTAGGAGGCGGTGGACTGCTAGTTCCCGGTCCAACTTAGCATGAACTAGTTACCAGAATCTCAACTTTGGAAGGAACTCCTAAAACAGTTCAATTCAATATATCCTTTAAAAATCATTTCCTCTCTGCCATGGCCATCAATGGGCACCATCCAGGGATGTAGCCCTGCACTCTTGGACAGCACAAAGTGTTAGGAAGGTCTTCCTGATCTCAAATCTAAATTCACCTCTTTACCACTTCTACTTCTCTCCTGGTTTGGCCTTGGGGTAGGGAATGTAGAACAAAGCTAATCTCTCTTCTGGGACACTCCTCCTAATACTTGAAAAAAGTCTCTCAGTCATCAAGTCAGGCAATAGGGATTTATAAAGTGCCTGCTAAGTGTCAGGGACTGTGCTAAGTGCTGGGGATAAAGAGCAAGGCAAAACCAGTCTCAAGAGCTAGCCTGCTAATAGCTATTGTTCACTCCCAGCCCCTAGCTTCTCTTCTCAGGGTAAACATCCTCAATTCCAGTGATTCTTTTACATCTTTTTTTTTCAAGTGTTGATTCACCTTTATTTGTTATATGCATATATATGTGTGTGTGTGTGTGTGTGTGTGTGTGTGTGTGGTGTGTGTGTGTGTGTGTATGTGTATATGTGTGTGTGTGTGTGTGTGTGTGTGTGCGTATGAAGATTCATTAATTTATTTTTAGTTTTCAACATTCACTTCAACAAGATTTTGAGTTCCAAATTTTCTCCCCATCTCATCCCTCCCCCAACCCCAAGACAGCATGCATTCTGAACACCCTTTCCCCTAATCCGCCCTCCTTTCTATCTCTCCCCACTTCTCTTATTCCCTTCCTCTTCTATTTTCCTGTAGGGCAGGATATCCCATTGCCTGTATATCTTATTTCCCAGTTGCATATGAAAATAATTTTTTAACATTTGTTTTTAAAACTTTGGGTTTCAAATTTCTCCCTTCCTCCCTCCCCACACACCCTCATTTAGAAGGCAAGCATCTTGATACAGATTATAATTATGTAGTTATGCAAAACACTTCCATAGTAGTCATGCTGTGGAAAACCATATTTCCCTTTATCCTATCCCTCCCCCCATTTATTCTATTCTCTCTTTTGACCCTGTCCCTCCTCAGAAGTGTTTGCTTCTGATTACCCACTCCCCTAATCTGCCCTCCCCTCTATCATCCACCCCCCTTATCCACTTCCCCCCTTCTTTTCCTGTAGGGTAAGATAGCTTTCCATACCCAATTGAGTGTGTATGTTATTCCCTCCTTAGCCCAAATCCAATGAGAATAAGATTCACTCATTCCCTCTCACCTTCCCCCACTTCTCCTCCATTATAAAAGCCTTTTCTTGTCTGTTTTATGTGAGATAATTTACCCCATTCTACCCCTCCCTTTCTCCTTCTCCCAGTATAATCCTCTCTCACCCCTTAATTTTATTCTCCAGATATTACCTATTCATCTTCAATTCACCCTGTTACCTCTATTTATTAATCTATCTATACATAACAATTTTTTCCCTCAAACTACCCTGATACTGACAAGGTTCTCATGAGTTACAAATATCCTCTTTCCATATAGGAATGTAAGCAGTTTGACCTTAATGAGTCCCTTATGATTTCTCTTCCCTGTTTACCTTTTCATGCTTCTCTTGAGTCTTGTATTTGAAAGTTGAATTTTCTATTCAGCTCTGGTCTTTTCATCAAGAATGCTTGAAAGTCCTCTATTCCCCTGAATGTCTATTTCTTCCCCCTGAAGTATTATATTCAGTTTTGCTGTGTAGGTGATTCTTAGTTGTAATCCTATCTCCTTTGCCCTCTGGAATATCATATTTCAAGCCCTCTGGTCCCTTAATGTAGAAGCTGCTAAATCTTGTGTTATCCTAATTATGTTTCCACAATACTTGAGTTGTTTCTTTGTGGCTGCTTGCAATATTTTCTCTTTGACCTGAGAACTCTGAAATTTGGCTACAATATTCCTACTTTTACTTTGAGGATCACTTTCATGAGGTGATCAGTGGATTCTTTCAATTTCTATTTTACCCTCATGTTCTAGAAAATCAGGGCAGTTTTCCTTGATAATTTCTTGAAAGATGATGTCTAGGCTCTTTTTTTTGATCATGGCTTTCAGATAGTCCAATAATTTTTAAATATCTCTCCCGGATCTATTTTGCAGGTCAGTTGTTTTCCAATGAGATATTTCACATTGTCTTCTATTTTTCATTCTTTTGGTTTTGTTTTGCAATGTCTTATTTCTCATAAAATCACTAGCTTCCAATTGCTCCATTCTAATTTTTAAGGAAGTATTTTCTTCAGTAAGCTTTTGGACTTCCTTTTCCATTTGGCCAATTCTGCTTTTTAAGGCATTCTTCTCCTCATTGGCTTTTTGGACCTCTTTTGTCATTTGACTTAGGCTATTTTTAAGGTGTTATTTTCTTCAGTATTTTTGGGGGTCTCCTTTAGCAAGCTGTTGACTTGTTTTTCATGATTTTCTTGCATCACTCTCATTTCTCTTCCCAGTTTTTCCTCTACTTCTCTAACTTGCTTCTCAAAATCCTTTTTGAGCTCTTCCAAGGCCTGGGACTGATTCATATTTTTCTTGGAGGCTTTGGATGTAAGAGCTTTGACTTTGTTGTCTTCTTCTGGTTGTGTGTTTTGACCTTCTTTGTCACCAAAGAAAGATTCTGTGGTCTGACTTTTTTTGCGCTGCTTGCTCATGATCCCAGCCAATTTCTTGAGTTTTAAACTCTTTATTAAGGTAAGGGTCTGCTTCCAGTGTAGAGAATGCACCGTACCAAGCTTTGGGGGTTTTGTGCAGCTGTTTTCAGAGCTGTTTCTGGGGACCTGTAACTTTTCAGTTCTTCCAAGGTGGTACAATCAAGGGCAAGGTGTTTACCCCTTTCCTGGCCTGTGCTCTGGTCTATGAGTGATCACAAGCATTCTTTTCTCCCTTGGAATTGTGAGGAAGATTCCCTCTGCACTGCCACTACAAGCTGTACCATGCCAGCACTCCTCCTCACCCCAAGATCACCACCCAGAACTGTGACCCAGATCCAAGCACGGGCAAAGCAAGAGAATCCTGCCTTGGCACCAGCAGAGAGTCCCCCTCTGATCACTCATTTCCCCCTCAGTCTGTGGGCCAGAAGCTCCAGAAGCAGCCAGGACTGAGGCTGAGACCTAGCTTCTCTCTCCCCGAGGTCATAGACTTTTCCTACTCACCTTCTAAGTTGTCTTTGGCATTTGTGGGTTGAGAAATCTGGAAACTGCCACAGCTGCCCATGATTCAGTCCCCTGAGGCCTGCTCCAGGTTTGCTGAGGCCTGGTCTTTGTGTGTGTTGAACTACGTTTCTCTCCCAGCCTAGCACGATAGACCTTTCCAATCAACCATCCAGGTTGTCTTGGGCCGGGAATTTGTTTCACTCTGTCATTTTGTGGGTTCTGCTCTCTAGAATTTGTTTAGAGCCATTTTTTACAGGTATTTGGAGAGGTTTGGGGGAGAGCTCAAGCAAGTCACTGCTTTCATTCCACCATCTTGGCTCCACCCCCAATTCTCTTACATCTTGAAGCCCTCCTCCAATCTATTCACATGTCTCTGGATTCTTTCCAACTAACTCAAGTCGTTCTTAAAATGTAGTACCTGGAACCTAAGCCAATGTTCCAGATATGGGCTGACCAGGAAGAGTAAAGCAGGCATTCTGTACCCCTTAATGCTGCCTAATTTCTAATCACCTTTGTCATCTGTCTTATCACACTGTTTTCAAACACACTAACCATCTCACCATGCCTCTACCATCTTGTATGGGAAACATTGATCTCTATGCTAAATTGTACATTTTTATATTTACCCTTATACAGTGTTATCTTATTAGATTCAACCAAAGGTTCCAACCTGTTTAGATTTTTTTTTGTATCCTGTTTTCTTCTCCAGTGAATTATAAGTCACCTTTTCAGCCCATCTGATAAGCGTGTCATCTATACCTGTATTCAGTACATTTATAAAAAGAGCAAAGAGCCCAGGCTCTATGAGAATGGGGTATATAATGGGTGCTAAGTATAGACCCTGTCTGCTCAAGCCTGCATCCAAATGGGTGCAAGCACAAGTGATATTAGGTCAGCCTTCTGCAAATTCCATTTTTATGGCAATCAGCACTGGAGAAAAACCAGAGTGTGTTTATGTGAATACTGTCACTTGCTGGTGATTGGTCCATAAGCAAATTAGCCAAGCAGTAGGTGATTTGTGGTTATCGATGGGTCACTGTTCACCAACAGCAAGTCCACCCCAGGGCTGGGACCACAGGGAGTAGAGGTTTGAGCATGATTCGGGTCTGTGTGGGTAGATTTCAAAGCTCAGCCCAGGTAATTGGGGGGGGGAGGGTGGATTGGGGGAACTGGGGGAGAGGCTATCTACTCGTATGAATTATTCACTCTTCTCTCCCTCTCCATTAAGGCACATAATAGAGAGCTGACTGTGGCAGGTTTGTATTCAGCTCGTGAATCTGATTTGTACTATTGGACATTGCTTCAGAGTGGTGGCATTTTCAAGGTGGGGAGAGTGGTAGAGGATGGAGGAAGCAAGTTTTTTGTCCTGTCTGTCTCTTTCCCGCCCTGACAGAATGGCCTCCATTCTTTTGTCTCTATTGCCTCCAGAATTTCCTTTCCAAGCAATGGTATGGAGAGATATCCCGGGACACCAAGAACTGGAAGATCATTCTATGCCTGTTTCTCATACCTTTGGTGGGCTGTGGTTTTGTGTCCTTCAGGTAATGACCATAGTTTTCCTTAAAAGGCTCATTCAGTGAAGGAAAGTGAATGAAAAGGCAGATGACCAGAAAGTGACCTCTAGCAATTACAATTGGTTTCTTGTCATAGCAGGCCCTTCTTGGAGCTGCCCCCAACTGGCACTTGGTATGGCCAAGCTTGATTTGAGTCACATCCTGTTGTCATTCTATCAAAGGATTTAGATTTAGACCTGAAAGGGACCTTCAGGGTCATGTAATCCAACCCTTTTATGCTCCAGATGGGTAAACTGAGGCAAGAAAAGTTACAAGCTAGGCCACAGATCTCGAGCTGGATGGATGTCAGAGGCCACCTTATCCAACTTCCTGAAGCAGAGCAGAGATGGAAAGGTGATTTGGCCAAGATCAAAGTGGTTCACTCCTGTAGTACTTGGGGGTCTGCCCTTCTCCTATGGCTCTCACTACATGTTTCCTTATGCCATAGACATGTATTGCATAACATATATATATATATATATGTATATATGTGTGTGTGTGTGTGTGTGTGTGTGTGTGTGTGTGCAGATGTATGTATTCTATATGTTGTATTGTGTGCATATAATTTATCCTACTGGGATGCAAACTCTTTTCTTTCATATGGCCACAGCTGCTTGGAACTTTCCATGGTGACTTGTAATAACAGACTCTAAAAACGTGCTGAATTTTGAAAACAAATGTGCTGTTAGCAATATAGTGCAGGCTACTGAAAGCAGTACAAAGCAAATCTGAAGTCATTGGAAGGGGCCTTAATATATAAGGAGAGGCAGATCTGGTGCACGTGGAACACGTGGGTTCAGCCTTTCTTAGATCTGCGGATTTTAAGATGCAAAAGTGAGCTGGGAGGGCACTCCAGGCCTGGGGAGCAGCACGTGCAAAAGCCTGGAGGTGGGAGGGCAGAGATGCCTGATTCTGGACTTTCTGGTTGGTAGTATTAAGCAGAGCTTATTTTTGGCAATGAGAACAAAGGGTGGCTATCTGAGCAGAGAGTGTTTTTGTCTTCTAGAAGTGGGTTTCTAAACCATCTAAAAAAGGGAACAAGATAAGCAGGTTCATGGGGCAGCTACGTGGTGCAGTAGAGAGGGGCAGCTAGGTGGTGCAGTACAGAGCACCAGCCCTGGAGTCAGTTCAAATCTGACCTCAGATGCTTGACACTTACTAGCTGTGTGACCTTGGGCAAGTCACTTAACCCCAATTGTCTCAAAAGAAAAAAAAAGATAAGCAGGTTCAACCTAGGGCTAGCCTTATTCAGTGGACAAAGGATTTTGGTTCTCAAAGGGTTACTAATGAACTCATTCATTCATTCATTCATTCATTCATTGACCAGCCTTTGTCAAGCACCTACCCCTCAAGGGTAGGGTCCATTCTATTGGGAAAACAACAGGACACAGAAAAGTAAATACAAAGCTACTTACTGCAGGTAGGTTCAAAGTCATTGGGGGTGGGCTGGGGTGGGCTGGAAGAATCCAGTAGGCTTCCTGTAGGAGGTGGCATGCTGAGCTATTTTAGACATGACCATACAAAGGGCACAGATCCATTTCATAAGGAGCAGATTCCACTTCTAAAGGACCAAGCTCTCTGGGTTCATTTCTTTCCCACCTCAGGAAGAAGCCCATCGACAGACATAGAAGGCTTATCTGGTCCTACCTGGCTTTCTTCACCTCACCATTTGTGGTCTTCTCCTGGAATGCGGTCTTCTATATCGCCTTCCTGCTGCTTTTTGCCTACGTGCTGCTCATGGATTTCCACTCTGTGCCTCACACACCAGAGCTCATCCTCTATGCCCTGGTCTTCGTCCTCTTCTGTGATGAAGTGAGACAGGTAGGCAGCCCCATTCCCCAGGGAGCTCAGCTCTTTCCAAAGCCAGAGAGAACAGGGACTGCCTTCAGAGATCAAAGGGAGCTGGTTCTAGAACCAACTTTCCTGTTGTAAGTAAGGCCTGAAGACAAGGAGGGACTTTATCCAATCTTCCCCCACCTCCATAGCTGGGCAATCCTTCATCAGCCCAGTGAAAGTCCCTTCAAATCCCAAGTCCTTCTGCTTTGCCAATTCAATTCAACAGGTGAGGATTAAGCACCTAGTCAGAATGATGGGGGGGGGGCGGGGCAGGAGGGAAGACGGCGTGTAGAGATATAAGCAGATACAAATTACACACAGAGTATACGCAAGGTAATTTTGGGAGCACTTCGAACATGTAGGGGAGCTGAGAAAGGTCTCACGTGGAAGGGGAACCTTGAGTAGAATGTAAAAGGGAGCTTGAAGCTCCCTAGAAGGGAGATTCCAAGAGGCAGAGGGAAGGATGGAGGGGATTCCAGAGCAGTGGGGAAGGTCTCTCTAGGAGTTTATGGGGTCCAAGGAGGAGGTGGTTACCAATTTGGGTGACCAGGGGAAGCTTTTGGAAAACGGGGGATTCGAGTAGGGTCTGATGAATAAGAATATGCCATGTGAAGCATGGGAAGGGGAGGGGGTATCAGAGTGAGGAAGGGCAAGGAGGCTGGGCTGGGTAGGCTGTGTTACAAGTTCTGTGGCTGAAGCATGAAGAGGGTGGAGATGAGCAGCAGGAGATAGGGCCAGACGAGGGGGTTGGCATCAGATTATGGAGGGCCTTGAAGGGAAGAGGGGGCTATGGGAAAGATTTTTGAGGAAAAGAGTTATGTCGAGGCATCATAGCATAATAAAGAAGGCGCAGAACTTTAGGTCAAGAGGACCTAGGTTCAAATCCACCCTAGATATTTGCTAGCTGAGTGACTCTGGGCAAGTCACTTAACTTCTGTCTGCCTCAGTTTCCTCATCTGTAAAATCTTAAAGAAGAGATTGGAACTCATGGCCTCTGAGAGCCCTTCCAGTTCTGAATCTGTGATCCTGTGATCTGTGAGTAAAATAATTCCTTTGGCCACCATGTAAAAGGCTTATTCTATGAGAAGAGCCATAGGGAGATGATAATAACCATCTTTGAGTCATTTTATAGCAGGAGTGAGTGGCGGGAAATTCAGGAAAGAGGATCTGTACATGTACAGGGATAGTGGGAACAGAAAGGAGGAATTGGATGGGAAAAATCTCTCAGGAAGGTGGAAACCACTGGATTTGGTCATCGATTGTATGTGAGGGCATTGTTGTTTAATTGTGTCCAACTTTTCATGACCCCTTGGGGTCCTCTTGGCAGATACTGTAGTGGTCTACCATTTCCTTCTCCAGCTCATTTTACACACGAGGAAACTGAGGCACACAGCATGACTTGCCGAGGGTCACACAGGTAGTAAGTATCTGAGGCCAGATTTGAACTCAGATCTTCCTGACTCCAGGCCTGGCGCTGTATCTACTATATTCTGTTGCCCAGCATCAGAGGACTTGAGTTGAAATCCCACCTCTCAGGCTTGCTACCTGTGTCACCTGGGGCAAATCACTTTCCCTCCCTAGGCCTTAGCTTCCTCCTATGCAAAATGAAGGAATTGGGCTCACTGGCCTCCTGGGTCCCTTCCAGTGCTGGGTCTGTGTTCCCAAGGTCCTCTAAGACCACAAGCTGCAGGAGACTCACAGGTCCTCCTTGGGAGACAAAGCTTCTTCACTGGCATTTCCCTACAACAATGAAATCACAGACATGATTACCATCCCACCCCCGAAGCCATCAAGCATCTCATTCTACCACATAACAATGACCGACATTTCTAAAGGGTTTCACAAACATCTTATCTGACCCCCTTAATAGCAATGTAGAGTAAGCACTAGAGCTATTATCCCCATTTTAGGATGATGAAACTGAGGCTTAAAGATGTTATGTGACCTGTCTGCCCATGGTCCCATAAAAATTAAGTGTCAAAGGTAGAACTCTGCTGTTTCTGGGTCCAGGGCTGGACTTCAGATTGTTAGATTTATTAGCTCTATCACTTTGGGCATGAATGTTTCAGGTCTCATGGTCCTCTGAAATCTATGAGATATAGGGGGAGCATTCTGGATAATCTGTAAAAACCAGATTGGGTATGATAGATAGATAATAGATAGATAGATAGATAGATAGATAGATAGATAGATAGATAGATAGATAGATGCTGTTAGCATGTGTTTTCCACTTTCAAGGCAACATCAAGAGTGGTCCTAGCTCTCGGGATAGCCAGATATTAGTCAGAAGGTCACAGTATATCTTTGTCCCTTGAACACCTAGCTCAGTGCCTCACGCAGTCAGTGTAAATGAGTTGGTAATGAATGAATGAAAGAGAGCAAAGGAAGTCTGGGAGAAGAAGGGAATATGGGCAGTAGGTGCTCCTTAATGATAGCATTCCACTCCTTCCCTCTTCCATCCTACAGTGGTACATGAATGGGCTTAAGTACTTTACCGACCTGTGGAATGTCATGGACACTCTTGGATTATTTTACTTCATAGCAGGGATTGTCTTCCGGTAAGAAACTTCCTTGGCATTTCTACATGGTGCACTCTCTAAGCTCTTCAGTGTGCGGTTAAATGGAGAAAGGGTTAAAATTCAGGTGCACTATGTTGTCAGTGATGGGTGGGGGCCTGCATCGTAATGAGCCATGGATGATGGCTTCAAGTTGAACACTCAGCAAGGAGTTTTCTATTCCTCCGCCCCATAACACAGACACGCTGAATTCTCCTCTGATGCAAAGTGCATGGCTCTCATCCAGGAGAGACACCACGGTCTCGGGGAAGGAGCACTGGATCTTGGAGCTAAAAGATCCGGGTTTGAATTGCAACCCATGGGGCCTTGGAAAAATGTGTGGCTCTCATGACTTCCAGTTGCCTCATTTTTAAAATGAGGAGAAGGGTGTTTTATAGACTATCTGTGTCACAAAATCACTGTGAGAACGATAACTGGAGTGCTGGAAGTGACCTTAGTGGTCAGCTAGTCAAATCACTTCATTTTACAGATGAGGAAACTGAGGCCCAGGGAGGTTATGTGACTTGCCCAAAGAAGGTCGCTCTAACAGAATCACAGAATTTAAGAGGAGAAAGAGGACTCAGCAGCCCCAAAACCAAGCCCCCCCCGAGACACGCCCAACAAGTGGTCGCCCAGACTCTGCTTCAAGATAGCCAAAGAGGGAGAATCTGCCACATCTCCAGCAGGCTCACTGCTTGGATGCTCCCTCCAGCGACATAGTCCCAACCCACCCACACCTGCCTGTCCATCCTGTGTGATTCAAATAGCGTCTCAGGCTATATAAATAGCAGCATGCCACCATCAATTCAGTCAGTCCACTTGACCCCAAAGCTTAGGGAGGGCAAGCTAGCATCTCCAGACAGCTTAAAGGAGTCTCCTTCTACCAGAAACAGGGCATCTGGCAATTCCCCAACTTGCCTTCCTGTCAAGGGCAGGTCTCTTAGAAGAAATAGGAGAGGATGAGGATAACGGTTCCTTTGTACATCATTCTGGCCACAAGGAGGGACTAATAGTGAGACAGAAGCTAGGAGAGCCTTGGTAGAAACTGCCCCATCATTGGAAGTGTCCAAGCCAAGGCTATAAAACTACCTATCAGGGATGTTGTCAAGGGCATTTCTGCATTGGGGTGGGAGACTGGACCAGGAGACCTCCCAGGTCTTTCCTAGCTCTTGCTGGTTTATGGTTCAAAAAATAACAAAAATGAAAAAACCTCGGAGGTTCTTCCCAAGCCTGACTTTCTATGATTTGTATTCTGTGTCAGCATGTCCTTTTGCCCAGGGCTTCTGACAATCTGTGTATTTGCAAGCCAAAGAGAATAATCAAATGCGGAGCTCACGGACACTACAGACTGGGTCACCTCCAGTGGACATTTGAACATTAGAAAACATCCCTGACCCATCTCTTCTGATTGATTAAGTTAAATGGTTCACTTTTGAGGATTCCAGGTGGGCTTGTGTCTTGAACTGGGTGGAAATAAAGAAACTGATTGAGGAATCCACCCCAGGCACGAACCATTAATAGAAGTTATTTGCTCATGAATGTTGTTCCCGCCTCCATGCTTTTGTACCACACCTGGAACACTCTCCCACCTCACCTTTACCTCTCAGATTCCTGGTCTTCCTTCAAGACTCAACTTAAGAACTGTCTTCTACAGGAGGCCTTTCTTGCCTTCCTCCCCACCCCACCCCACCCCAAACACCCACTAGTTCCTTACCTCTGAGGTTACTACTTTGTAGGTGTCTTGTGTGTACCTGTATGTGTTGTCTCCCCTGCTGGAAGGTGAGGTCCTTAAGAGGACGGACCCTTTTTGCTCCCATTGTTATATCCCCAACACTTAGCATAAGGCCTGGTATTGTATGATGTATGATATGATATAGTAATATAGGACAGGATAGAACAGGCCATGACAGAACATTACAAAATCCTAGTGCTTAATCAATGCTTAGTGATTGAGTATTATTCCAGAAGGTAGCTGCGCCAAGAATTGGATGAAGCCATTTGTTATCATTCAAAGCTCCTAGTCCCTCCCTCCATGGTGTTCTCCTGACACTGTTGGACAGATCCCTTTTGGCTTTGGACCATTTCCTGAAGTGAGACCACCTTTTCACCTTTATCTTACCCAAGAAATCTGCTCAAAGATTGTCTCAAATTGAGCCTCTGTGGTTGGAAAACCAAAGCCAATCCAGCTACAAACATTCATTAAATTCCTACTATGTGCCAGGTACCACACTAGGTATTGGTGATACAAAGACTGCCCTTGCTCTCAAGAAGCTAACACTCTAGCAATGGAGACAACTTGCACAGATGTAAGCGTATTCCCAATATGTATCAAACAAATATAAGGTCATTTGGCAGAGGAAGGAAGGCACTAAGAAACTGGAGGAGGGGAATCAGGAAAGGCTTCATGTAGAAATGAGCACTTGAGCCAAATTTAGAATGAAACAGCACAGGCTGGGCATGCAGTAGTAGCTCCTTCCTAGGAGGAAACAGGTGTGTGCATGCCATCCCAACAGGTGCACCCCACGTAGCCTTTAACTCCTCAATCCTGCAAAGGGAAATGTGGCCTCCTCTTCCTTCTTTCTCCTACCATTCTGTTCCACTGTTCCCAGTTCTGTTCCACTGTTGTTCACCCAGTGGGCTGAGTCTGCTTCATGTTTTGGGAAAGAGGGGGCAGCACAGCTGTGCAGATCCATACATTTCCTTTGTGGTATCTAAAATGGAAATATAAGGCTCACCTTTTTAGGACTGCCAATATGGCATTTTCCACAGTTAATCCTGATCTCCTTAGTACTCACATATTCAAGTATTGCCTATATTCCTTGTCAAAGGGGAATATATTTGCAAAAGATTTCACATCCTTTGTTTTTGCCATAACAAAGCCAAAGGATTTCTAAAATCATTCTTTCTTCCATGCCCTTTTTCCTTTTCTCAACAGACTCCACTCCTCTAACAAAAGCTCCCTATATTCTGGACGTGTCATCTTTTGCCTGGATTATATCATCTTCACTCTGAGGCTCATCCATATTTTCACTGTGAGCAGAAATCTAGGGCCCAAAATCATCATGCTGCAGAGGATGGTAAGATTCATGAACAGAGACAGAAGAAAGTGCTCTGCCCAATAATTCAGACCCATCAGGGAAAGAAACTGTGCATAGAGAGGCTTCCAACAGCACAGCCTCAGGATTGCCATCTGATGGTGTTGTCCCAGAGAGATCTTTTCCAGGCTGAAGCCTGACAAAAGCTGTCTGTGGCCCATTGACCCAGCAAGTGACTGCAACATGGCTAGGAGCTAGAAATGTCCAGCTTGGTTTTCTTCAGAAGGAAATGGAAATCCATGACACTGCAGAACTTTTCCTCATCAGAACAAGGCCAATAATAATTATTATTATTATTATTATAGCCAATGTTTCTAAAGACTTTTAAGGACTGTAAATCACTTTGAATGTATTAACTCATTTGGTGTTAATTTAGTGACATTAAACTTTTATTCTTGGGTTCCAGTTACACCAGGGTCCAAGACTTTCATCCTCGAATAAAAATTATTCTGAAGCACCAAGTGCTTCTAATTCTGCTTAACCTTAAATTTTTCCATTTATAACCTTGGACTCAGCTGTTGGAGCAATGGATAGAGCTGGGCCTGGAGTCCGGAACACCTGAGTTCAAATCCAGGCTCAGACACTTACTAATTGTATGACCTCAGGCAAGTCACTTAACCTCTGTTAGACTCAGTTTCCTTAACAGTAAAATGTGCATAAGAAAAGCAACTGCCTTGCAGGATCATTGTGAGGATCAAATGAGATGATATTCGTAAAAAAGTGCCTAGCAGTGCTCAGTGCACAGCAGGTGCTATATAAATGTTGATTCGCTTCCCTTCTCTACTAATCATATTTCTTGTGATTTGATTATTCTTTTTTAAAGGATGAAATTTTTTCTTTTTAAGAAAATTCAAGGCTATAGGATAATAGGTTTGGAGCCAAAAGGGACCTTAGGGATCATTAGTCTAACTCCCTCATTTAGAAAGGAAGAAATTGAGGCCCAGAGAGGTTGGGTGATCACACAGCAAGTAAATAGCGGAGCAGAGATCTGAACCGAGGGTCTGTGACTCAAGAACCACCTCTGCTTCTACTTTAGCACATCATGGATTGGGGGCAGCTTTCCAAGTACAGAACAGGAACGTCATTTCTGCTATTTACAGACTTTCCAGCCGCTTAGTAATGGCTTTTCCCACTCAGAGAGGTGCCTCTGAATAATGATTTTGAAGCCTGTCTGCAGAAAGCCCAGACTCAGGACAGCACTTGCAGCCTTTCCGGTCTGGTAGAAGATGCAGAGGGTGTGTTCCTCTGGCCTAGCCTCTTGAACCCAGAGTCAACTCCATAGCACAAGGAGAGAGAAGAGGCTTCTAATGGGATACAAATCAGATAGACTTTCTTTTAGCCATTGTGAGGGATGAAATGAACACTGGGTGATTGCCTTTTCTGTCCCAGCTGTATTCTAATCATCTTTTGCTCAGTGAGCGGTGACCCCTCAACACGCATTTACCAGGAGATGAGCAGGTTGGACTCACTTGACAGATGGTGAATGAGACACTGACAGGTTTTTCCATTCTCCTCCAGCTAATTGACATCTTCTTCTTCCTGTTCCTCTTCGCGGTTTGGATGGTGGCCTTTGGGGTGGCCCGTCAAGGCATCTTGAGGCAGAACGAGCATCGCTGGGAGTGGATCTTCCGCTCAGTGATCTACGAGCCCTACCTGGCCATGTTCGGCCAGGTGCCCAGCGATGTGGACGGTAATCAACGGTTCACGTTGTGTCACGTATGTGTGTTTGTGGCAGGGATGTGGCTGGGATCTAATGCTTTACTCTGTGTCTGTAGGGGTGTGGTAATTTCCCCTATCAGAATTCAACCTCTTTGAGCTCAGGGGCTGTTTTGATTCTGTCTTCACATCTCCAGTGCTTGGTGTACAGTAGGTGAATAAATACTTGTTGAATTGTTGAGAGGAGCTTGACAGAGGTATCCTCATTCTTCACGCACTTCTCAGGATCACTGGCATCACCAGGGGGATCATGGCTTGATTCAGACACTTTCCCCCAGCCCCAAAGGTGGCCTAAAGAGCAATTCTTCACTATCAGACAATTGTAACACAGCAACACCCTGGGCGGGCTCAATGGATTCAGCAACGAGTTCACAAAGTACTATATCTACATGCACTATCACTTGTAGCTAAACCTCCGAGTTACCTGCAGTTGGAGACATGAATAGGGACTAGACCTGGGGAACTCCCAGGTGAGGAAACCCTCTCCAGCAATCCAGGTCAGCACCTCCTTCTTTAGCTTCCAGTCTTGGAGAGGTGCCTAGTGCACTAAAGTGATGAAGTGAAATGCCCAGGGTCACGAGTCCAGTAAGTGTCAGAACTTGAACTCAAGTCTCCTGACTCCAAAGCTGGCTCTCTCTCCACCACCCCGTGTAACACCATGCCATGTTGCTCCCTCTTCCTTCAGCTGCTGGCTGCAGATCAGTCTCTTGGTCTTTTGAAGGAAAAATGTTTATGTGGCTCTCACTTGCATGGAGAGAATAGAGCAGGCAGTGGCGGAAGAGAGAGCTGCCAATAAGACCCCCTCTGGAGTCCTCTGGCGTCCTCCTACCCATGTGAAATTCTCCTCCAAAGTAGCCTCCTGTTTCTTGGTTAATCAAAATACCAACATTTACAGAGCTTGCCCAGTGCCTTATAAGTGTGACCTCCTTTGGTCCTCCTAGCAGCCTTGAAGGTCGCTGCCATTCTTATTCCCACTTTGCTGATAGGAAAACTGAAGCAGGCAGAGATTAAGTGGCTGGCCCAGAGACAACCGCTAACTAACATTGGAGACCGTATCTGAACTCGGAGCATTCATCTGCCATTGCTGAAACACCTCCCATCTTAGTGCCTGCCTCCCCCACTCACTCCCTCCAAGAATGCCATTGCCTTGTCTTTCTCAATGTGCCTTAGGTACCACTTACGATCTTTCTCACTGCACCTTCACTGGCAATGAATCCAAACCTCTGTGTGTGGAACTGGATGAACACAGGCTGCCCCGATTCCCTGAATGGATCACCATCCCCCTCGTATGCATCTATATGCTCTCGACCAACATCCTGCTTGTGAACCTGCTGGTCGCCATGTTTGGGTATGTACTGGGGCAGCTCCCCATTTGGAGGAAAAAAGGAGATTGTCAGGATATGGGTAGCAACGAAGGGTCTTTGCAGAGACTATGTCTCCATATACTCTTCCCTTTCTGTCTTCCTTCCTTCTTTCTTCCCTTTCCAACTTCCATCTCCCCTCCCTCTCTCTTTTCTTTCCTCCATTTATTAAGCACCTACTGTGTGTACTAGGCTCTGAGATTTGAAAGATAAAAATGAAATCATTGCTTCCCTCGAGGAGCCTCTGTTCTCATTGGGAGTGGACAACAGCTACACAGATGGACAAACTGTGCATGAAGTAAACCAAGGTGATGTCAGGGAGGAGAAGGTTGTAGCACTTGGGGAGGAGCGAAGGGGAGACCTCGTGTGGGAGGTGGCTCTGCCCTGAACTGTAGAATTTAGGGCTTCTAGGAGGCAGAGACAAGGAAGGAGACCACTGAGGGCACAAGGAACCAAGAGGACAAAGAATCGGGAAGCTCAGACAAAAACAAAGAGGCCAGTTTGGCTGGGATGTAGAGTACGCGGGAAGCAATATTAACCAAACCTTGGCTTGTTCTCCATAGGAAAGAAGGCCAACTTTAGCGCCACCTCCTCCAGAAACCCTTCCACGATGGCCCTCAGCTCAGGTTCATCTATTTTTCCTCATATTCTCTTGGAGAGACCTTGGCGACAAGGCCAGCTGCTATAGCTTCAGCTGCGTCCTATGGAGGTTCTCTCTGCATGGCCAGGGAAAGGCCCCCTGCGGCCTACCTGGCTGAAGTCTCAGTTAATTTAGTAGCTCCATTTCTGGAGATAGTAACCCCTCTGAGGGCAAGGACTGTTTTGTGCACAGGGAGCCCCCAGCTCTTGGCACAGTGCCTGGCATAGAACAGAGACTCTGTCTAGGAAGTTTGTTGACTATTTTGGAGCCTGGGCACAACCAAGACTTGGTTAGTTCATAACAGTCCTTAAAATGCCTCTCCCAATCTCCTCAGTGCAGGGGAAAGCATAGCGCTCACTGTCCGGGGGGGCTCCCCACTGGTGAGCAGATTCACAGCAGGTTGTTGCATGAGACCTGGGTTTGACTCTTGGCCCTGCCTCTTACCCTCAAGGTGCCTTAAAGGAAGTCATTCTATCTCTCAGACTCTGTATGCTCACCTGTGTAATGGGAACAGCACAGGATGTGGGAGGGGAGGAAATAGGCTTGAATCTTGACTCTTCCTCAGCTACCTTGGCACCTTGAGCAAATCCCCTCTTTGAGCCTGTTTCCTCATCTGCAAAATGAAGATGTTGGAGCACAAGGTTCCTAAAGAGTCTCCTCCCCGGAAATCCCGTGATCCTGTTAACCTTGATCTGTCGGCTGGGAGCTGTTAGCAGCAATCTGATATACACTTGGGGGTTTAAAGTAGCTGCCCACAGTTCCTTCTGATGACATTTGAGGGTGAAAGGAAACAGATGTAAACATCTGAAAGGCTCCTGCATTAACAGTATCAACCATGAGCTCTGTGCAGACGCTCAAAAACACGCAGAGGACTTCACGTTCAACTATCATCTAGACACAGGCTCCCAGGTTCAGCCTTTGTAGTGCATGGCAGACTCTGCAGCAGTAACCAGCTCAAATGGGCTTGAAGACAGTTTTCCCCTAAGGACCGAGTTACACAATCATCGACTTTTGAGAGAGGTGAATGCGGTACAAAGGGAAGGCACAAAACTGGATTTGGAAACAGGATGCGGGTCTGGATCCTGCCCCTGTCACTTATGACTTGGGTAAGCTTAGGCAGGTCACTTAAATTCTTTTGGCCTCAGTCTCCCCCTCTGTAAAATGAGTGAGTTGAATGATATGGCTTCTAGGGGGGCCAACACCCATGCTGTGCTTCCTGGCCCTTAATGTTTTCCGTTGTCAACCACCAAGCACCAGCTTAACCCATTTTCTTCACAGAATTGGAGCTAAGTAGACACTCCAAAACTCAGTGTTTTCAATTTTCTATGGAGACAGAATTGTGTACTTAATTCCAGAAGGGTATAGGCCTATCATGGGTCATCGTAATGAAAACCATTCTAGGGTTCTAGAATGGCCAGAGCAGTGAGACCCTGAGACCCTACAATCCTACAATCTCCAACCTTTCTCTAAGGCTATCCCCAGAATGAGTATCTCTGCCCTTGGAAGACTTGACTTCCTTCAAGGCTCAACTTAGGAGCCGCCTCCTCCCTGCAGTCCTCCATGATCAGGTGTCCTAGTTATTAGTGCTCTCTCAAGTCTTCAAATATCCCTCTTTGTTGGAACTCTCCTTCACTCCTTCATTAAACAAGCATTTATTTAGCACCTATTGTGTACCAGGAACTGTCCTAAATCCTGGGGCTAGAAATATAAAAAATGAAATGATCTCTGCCCTCAAGAAGCTTACATTCTAATGGGGAGAGGTGGAAAATACCAAGTTCACAGAGAGATTCCCCCTTCAATCTCCTCCCAAGTCTTAAAACAATTCAATTCCCAACAAGCATGCTTCAGTCCTTACTGTGTTTCGGGATTGTACGAGTCACAGAGGGTATGAAGACAAAAATGAAAGGCTTCCTGACCTCAGAGAAATTACAATTCACTTTTCGTTTTCAGTCAAGGCCCTGAATTCCTCTGTTTGAGGACTTCTCAATGAGAAAATTCTTCCTGTGCTTCAGAACAGTGCCTCATCTACTCTTCAGTCCCAGAGAGTTGCCTGAGGCACAGAGAGTTTAGGAGACTTGTCCAAGGTCACACCATCAGCTCAGGGGGAGGCAAGACCTGACATCAAATCTTCTTGCTCCAAGTTAGCTATCCATCCATCTAGACCACGCTGCCTCTCACACTTTACATTAATTATCAGAATTAAATGAAACAGACATTTGAAGGACTTTCATCTTTTAAGGCTTTTGGATCATCAGACTTGATTTCTTGTATTCAGGAGGGAAATTAAGTCCAAATGACACTTGAAAATGACCAGTTCTGTTTCTGAAATGGCCCCTCCCCCTCCTCTCCTACTGAATTCCTGCTCATTCTCCAAAGCCCAATTTCGTGGTCCTCCTTTCCCAAAACTGTCCCCAATCCTCATTATTAGTAACAACCTTCAAACATCACAAAGAGCTTTGACCTCTCTCTGTCTCCCAAAGAAATCGCCCCTACATCTGTCTAATGCACTGACCCCGCAAAATCTTGTGTTATAGTTAGCTGTGTTTGTCCTATCATCCTTATGGACTATGACTTCCATGAAGGGAAAGACCCATGTCTGAGCCAAACTTCACAGGCAGCTGCTGGTGCAGTAGTTAGAGAGTTAAGTCATTTTGTTTTTGTTGTGTCTGACTCTTCATGACCCCATTTGGGGTTTTCTTGGCAGAGATACTGGAGTGGCTTGCCCTTTCCTTCTCCAGCTCACTTTACAGAGGAAACTGAGGCAAGTAGGGTGAAGTGACTTGTCCAGAGTCATACAGTTAGTAAGTATCTGAGGCTGGATTTGAACTCATGAAGATGACTCTTTCTGACTCCAGGCCTGGTGCTCTATGCACTATGGTGCCATCTAGCTGGCCCAGAGAGTTAGGTCTGGAGTCAAGAAGACCCAAGGTCCAATTCCTCCTCAGATACTTTCTAGCTGTGTGACTCTGGGAATATTGATTAACCTCATTTATAGAGTTTCCTCATCTACAAAGCAGGATAATAATAACACTCACTTCACTGGGTTATCCTGAAGAACAAATGAAATAGCAAATGTAAGTGCTCTACAAACCTTAAAAGGCCACTGAAAGGCTAGGCATTGCATTCTCCTATCCTCCCAGCACCTGGCCCAGGGCTTTGCACACAGTAGGGCCTCTACCATCATTTACCAACTGAACCAGAAGGGAGGAAGGGAGGATGGAGGGAGAAAAGGTAGGAAGGGTCTGGCACAAGACCCGCTTTGATTTTGTTCCCAAGTCAACAAGCCCACGCCAGAGTTTGGACTTAGGGGGTGCGGCGAGGGTGGGAAAAATTGTTGGAATTCCCCTTGCCTGAGGTGTGCAGAGCATGGAGGCCACAGCAGCTCCTTTCCTTCTCCCTGCCAGGTACACCGTGGGAACAGTGCAAGAAAACAATGACCAGGTGTGGAAATTCCAGCGTTACTTCCTGGTCCAGGAATACTGCAGTCGCCTGAACATCCCCTTCCCCTTCGTGGTCTTTGCTTACTTCTACATGGTGGTGAAAAAATGCTTCAAATGCTGCTGCAAAGAAAAACACACCGAGGCCTCAGCTTGCTGTGAGTGGTGTCTGGCTTCTGCACCTGGAGGGTCAGACTGGACACAGTTACCCCTTTGGAGTGCATTACAATATTGCAGATTTGGGGGTAGTTTTCACTTGACACTGAATTAGTGTATGGGGTTGGGGGGAGAGAGAGAGACAAAGACTGACAGAGAGATAGAGGAGCAAACAGAGAGACAGCTGGATTTTGGAATCCAGTGAGCCAGGTTTGGGTCTCAGCTCATTACCTGTGTGAGCTGGGGCAGCTCAGAGAACTCTGGGCTTCCATTTCCTCATCTGTTAAACGAGGATGTGGGGCTGCATGAACTCCAATATTCCTTCCACTGCTAAAGCTATGATTCTGTGACTAACCTGAATCTAAGTGAAATTCCTCAAGTGCACTGCACTGAAATATTTGGCAGAAGTATTTATTTGTGAATACAGCAAGCCTGGTGGCTTTTCTCACGCCTCATTTTTTCTTGACATCAATTCTCCTTTTGATGGGGTCACCCATCCCTTCCTCCTGAATACTTCTAGTTACCATTATGCACTAGTCTGGCTTCCAGTCTTGACACTTTCTGTTTCCAAGTATACCAACCATGTCTTAATTGTTAAATCCAATTACCTTTTATCTGTCTTCATCCTTTTTTTTTTAACTCTTCACAGCATTTGACATGATTGGTCACCCTCTCCTCCTGAATATTCTTTCCTCCCTAGGTTTTCATGACACTTTTCTCTCCCAGTTCTAATCTCACCTGTCTGCTCTTTCATAGTCTTCCTTGCTGAATTATCATCTATGCCCTAAGCATGGGTCTACCCCAGGGTTCTAGCCTAGCCTCTTTTTTTTTTTACTCTATATCCTCTTGGTGATCTCATAAGCTCTCATGGATTTAATTCTGATCTCTTTGAAGGTGCTTCCCAAATCTATATATTCAGCCCTAGTATCTCTCCTAATTTCTCTTTTAAGCTCACATCCAGAAAAGAAGGGATTTCAGAATGTTAACATCTCTGAATTTCCTGCCACTTGAAATGATTTTTAACATATGAGCAGTGACCCTTTAACGGAGTACACCTAAATGCCACTTCACTCATCTGGAACATAAATAAATCTGTTTTTGAGAAAAACAAATGCTGATTTAAGTTTGCCTTGACTAAGTTCACTTGGCTACATCTGCACAGATGTCTAAGAGAAGCAATACTGAAGTTATCTGACTCAGAGCTCTGAGGGGAAAAAAAGTTGCTTATTTGAATGTGGCAAGAATACTGGAGGGAATAGAAAACACAAGATCTACATATGGATAATTGAAGAATTAGAAAACATATAGTGTTTTATACAATATTAATATATGGGGAAATATGGGCACCTGAATTTTCTATGATTACGGAACAAATGAAATTTATCTGAACATAATCATGAGAATTCGGTTATTAACCACAAGCTAAGATGGATTCATTTGCAGAAAGGACCTGGAGACTGAACCCAAGATACGAGAAATGAAAGGACAGATTTCAGAACTGTGTGAAAGAGAAATCCTCTCTCTCTCTCTCTCTCTCTCTCTCTCTCTCTCTCTCTCTCTCTCTCTCTCTCTCTCTCTCTCTCTCTCTCTATCTCCTGCCCTGTATAGAAAGTTTTGGGGGGTTGCCAGGCAAATTGGTTGGTCAGTTAGAGTCATTTGTTACCAGGCAGACTGGTTGGCCAATGAGAGTCCAAAGTGCTCTCTACTGCCATATGCTGCCAAAAGGAAGAAGAGATGGAGATAATACACTGTGCTGCTCTCTTATGATTTTCTGCTGAAGAAAAGACAGACGAACTCATCTTCTTTGTAGCCTGTTGTACCTGAAAGACAGAAAAGGAGAAAAAGAATTCTGCAAAGGATCAGAGTTGAAAAGGCTTTCATCAACTTTACAACAACAATTGTCCACTTTTTCTAAAAGAGTGTAACACCACATAAGGTGAAGGCATCAAAGAAGCCTGGCTCTGGAGGTGGCAAACTTCTGCAGTTTCTGTAAAGAAGTAACCAACTCCAGCTCAGTAGAGGAGCAATTTAGAAGCAAAGAATAAGAAAAGTCACCCAGTAAATCACCTTCTGAGATGCCAGTCAGCAGCTGTTCAGCATAAAAGCTGCAGTCACCAAGGAAGGTTTACATTCATTTCCTGAGATATAAAGATATATGTTTATAGGTCAAGAGTTGTGAGTTACTGGAGCACATGAGTTTTCATCATACTTCTCTGACAGGTTTCTGTAAATGTGTGTTCATTCTTCCCCACAGAGAGAAGGTGTATTCATGGGGAAAATATGACACAAGTTTATATGAATTTTAATGTATCTATTATTCCTGAATGACAAGAACCTATGATGTTGCTATTACTGCTTTCATCTTATTGTTGAGTAAATGGTTATGCTTAAGACTTAAAATACCACCTTTGTGAGTAGCTGGGTTTGTGTAAGTGGAATTACACCAGTGGGGTCTCCAGAGCTAAGGTGGTGAGTAGGAGGAATGTATTTATCCACAATAGGTGTGCCTCTAGGAACCTGAAAGAGTTTAGGTATAGCTACAGAGTAATGCTCCTTCTCCAAGAGCCTAAGCTACCAGTATAAGGGCATGCTGAGGTGAGTGAGTCAACCTAGAAAATGAGTTCTATGATAGATGGGTTCATGCTAGGTACCTTACCCAAATGTCACCAAAAAAAACTCCAAATGGCTTCTTTAAAATTCTTTAAAATTTAAAAATTTTCAGGACATTAAATGTTAATTCCAACATCACTAGTTACCATGTATATTCAATTGCTTTATTTCATGAAGAAAAACTTGTGATGATTGAGATGAGCTTGTAGAATCCCCATCCCCTTTCATCCTCATGCCTTGGAGCACAAAGAGAGTTATTCGTTTAGCTTAATGCTTTTTAGCAGTTAAGTGTAGAGAAGTAAAAATCTCTAATTTGGACTGAGTACTAAAGGCAAGGTCTAAGAATGGTGGTCAAAGCCAAAGAAGCAGTATGGAAAGAAGATGAACAAAACAGGACCTCACTGCCATTGACTGTGGGGCAGTGGGTGAGTCACTTAACTTTCCTGGGCCTCAGTTTCTTGATCTGTGAATGCAGGGCATATATTGGATGACCTTAAGGGCCTCCCAGCTTTAAAGTCTCCAGTTCTGTTATGGAGCCCCATATTCTGCAGTCTACATGGACCAAGGTTGGGGAACTAGGCAGATTTTGTCAGTAGAAGAGTAACCGACAGTGAGCCAGTGGCTGCCAGCAGGCACCAGGCAAATGAACGTCATCCAAGAAGCATTTGCTAAGCACCAACTACAGACAAGACACTGAAGTATGGTCCTTCCCCTCAAGGAACTAATCATCTCCTGGGGGAGGGGGGAGGATAAAACGTTTACACAAATAAATATGTTCAGGATCATCTGAAGAGGGAGAGAGGACTTACAGTTCTTTTTTGCCTTTTTACTCAAGGTGTAACAAATGAGGACAATGAAACCCTGTCGTGGGAAGCTGTAATGAAAGAAAACTACCTTGTCAAGAGCAACACCAAAGCCAACGACCATTCCGAAGAGTAGGTCTGCTTGCCTCTTGCCATTTTTCAGGTCTTCCATTTACTCTTAAGGCCAATGAGAATGCCCAGCTTCCTTTAACCCAATCTGCCTGGTCAGTTGGTAGCTGACCATTTCTTTAAAGGGCATGAAACCTTCTTGCAAAAGCACATGTCTGGCAGAGAGGTTATAGAATGGACTTTAACAACTCCTACCTTCTCTCCTCTTTGCAGAATGAGACACCGATTTAAACAGCTGGATACCAAGGTACTGTGCTTTTTAGGGGGGAGCTTGGGGGTGGGGCAGGCATTGGGCTTCATCGTCCTGCTTACATCTAGCCAGGTAGCAGTGACTTCACCAGGAACCAAAAACACGTGACTGTATATTTGCAGTTGGAAGGGACCTTGGAGCTCATCTAGCTCACCTACTTCATTTTACAGAGGAGAAAACTGAGGCTCAGAGAGGTAAAGTGAATTGCCCAAGGTCACAAAGATTATTACCTTTGTCAGGACTTGAACCCAGGTCCTCTGATGCCCAATCCCAGGTTCTCTGCTGTACCCCTCTGCAAATCCTACAGTCTAGGCCTAGCTTTGAATGCTCCTTCTTTGAGAACTTGGTGCCACATGGGATCACAAATTTAAAGCTGGAAGAAATCTTAGAGATTCTTTGGCCCAATACTTCAATACAGGTGATGGAAGTGAGGGCTGAAGAGGGTCAGCTTTTCAGCTGCAGACCTAGGGCCTGAACACAGGTCCTCTGACTCCAAGCCCAACATTTTTCCTCCTACATTGGCCTACCTTCTCAGCCTCTTGGGAAGCAAGGTCCCAGGCTGTTACTGGCACTATTGCAGCCTTTGTATAGGCCATAATTGTCTAATCAGCTCTCCAAAGTCATGGCCCAGATACCCTGCCCTCCTACCCTCACCCTTCTAGGACGTCTCCCTCAGCAGCTGCCGGCCAGAAAAGCAAGACCTCTCCTGCTGCTGCTGTTTTAGGGGTCCCAGGCTTTTGTCGGGCCAGTGGACCACTCCTGCACCAATCTTTATCTCCTGGACCTTAGAGGTATAGCTAGTATCTAATGAAGCCAGAGCAAAGTAAACATATAAAACTTGTGGCCCCTGGGGGATGGTCAAACTGATAACATGAATGGGTGCAAGGAGAGTTCCGATCCATTTCTGAATAATAGAGCCATGATGACTTGCTTAGAGGGTTGTGTATCTTGACAAGGAACAGCCCTCAGAGGCCATGTGGTCCTCTTACTACAAGGCCAGAGCTGAAGGATATTTGGGGTTAGACCTCTGGATTTTGAAGATGAAAAAATGTAATGAGCTCCTTGGTACCACTGTCAGAGATCTAACACTGATCAGTATGGACCATCATTCTGACCCACTGTAACATTTCTTAGGCTTTGTTGTAATTTAGAAATAGATGAAGTCTTTCTGGCCATGTTTACATGGAGCTCACAGCATGAAGTCTAATCATCTATCCCACTATCCAGTACACGCTATCCATGCATCTGTAAAGTGTTGTCAGATGAGAGGTCAACAAGCATTTATTAAGAGATTACTGTGTGCAAAGCAGTGGCCTAAGTGCTGAGAATACAAAGAAAGGAAGCAAGAACGCTCTCCTTACCCATGAGGAGCACACAGTCTACCAGAGAAGACAACGTGGCAATGGTGATCTGCATACGGAGTAGGTGGAGGGCAATCTCAGAAGGAAGAGGACTTAGCCTCTTCAGCCAATTAAAGTCCCCAGTGACATTTGGGTCCTCTTTAGAAAAAGTCTCATAGGCTTGTCACATAGCAAGAGCTAAGGATGCTTGGTGAGAAGCCTGAAGATTCCCCTGATATCTCTGTCATGTCAGCAAAAATCAAAGAAACCCCCTAGCACCTTGGCTGGCCCCCACTGAGGGGAATGTCTGGAAGGACATGAGCAAGAATTACACAGGATAAGCAGGTGGAGAATAACTAGGGTCAGCATCATTGGAGAAAATAGCCCAGTCATGGAGATCACATAGCCACATTTGAGACAAGGGGGGATGGAGAAAGCATCATGTATATTACAACCATGTTTGACCAAAAATGTTTCTTTGAATAAGTAATAGAGCCAGTGAGCAGCCAGCTGGTAGATATTATACTGGATCCATGTTGTTTCATCAGTTATCCAAAATCAGATTTATGAATCCAAGCAAGCTGTACATTTCCTGCCTGATAATTAGGTGAAATGTGCATCACTGAGCTTCACTTGTTTTCGTGTGCACAGTGTTTCACAATCAGTTTGGTCTCCTCTTTGTACTGTTTGGGAGCAGGGCACCACACGTGTGCTGACTGGCCCAGTTGTTTGCAAGCATCTTGTTCTTGGAGGATCGGTTCTAACAGTTCATTGCACATGATTGTACCAAACCCATTATCTCTTGAGGGTGGGTCTATGGGAGCACAGTGTTCATTTGCTAACAGTTTATCTATTTGCTTTCAGGAAATATGTGACGGAGTATGGAATGAATGAGGATAGTATGTGATGTATTCACTGTCCTCAACACTTGGTTTCTATATCCAGTCCGTAGATAAGTCACAGTGCAATAATTAGGAAAGTGTTTGTCTAATTTATAACTAATACCAGTCCTGGTTTTTTTTCTTTTTCAAAGCTGAACGATCTCAAAGGCCTTCTGAAAGAGATTGCTAATAAAATAAAATAGCACAAAATTCAATCAGAAACCGCCAACCACAGCTAGGTAAGTGTGTTTCCCAGGCTTCTTTAATCTGGAGTCACACTAGCATGTTTTCAGCCTGCTTTAAGACAAATATATTCTTCAGTTGTGATCCTAGGTAATGCATGATTAAGCTGTTGCTGGCAATGGGTGCATTTCCAAGAAGCCTCCCAAATGTTTAAAGTCACTGATTTAAAATTCACAAATTAAAATGAAAGATGAAAGTCCTGACTTCCTGACTGTATTCAATAATCCAGTCATTTCTCTAGTTTCTAGTGTGCTAAAGCTGTCCAAGTGCTGAAAAAATTTGGGGTGGGAAAATCGGAAAGAAAGCAAAGGCTTAGGAGATGACCTGTTGCTGGGAATGAAAGAGTCTTTGATGAAGAATTAGACAGGTCAGTGATGAAAAAAATAGCAGCTTTATTTGATATGCTTAATTCAAAAAAAAAAAAAACCAGATGCCTTTGCTACAGATTCCTAAGTCTGGGAGGACAGAGTAATGAGTGAGGGCCTACAGAAGGCCACTAGGACAGCACACACCGCTGCTCAGAGTGCAATCAGTGCCCATCCAGCTGGCTGTCACCAAGCCAAGACGCATCACCCATGCCTTCCTGTCCCAGCTCCTGCTTTTTGCTTATAGGGATCATCTTCTCCCGTTGGAATATAAGCTCCTCCAGGGCAAGGGCTCGGGCTCACTTGTTTGTATCTGTAAGGTCGGTGCTTAGCCTGACACATAGTAATAAAAGCTGTTTTATTCATTCCTTCAGCAGTTAGCAAAATCATACTGAAGCCTTTACTGAGACTAGCAGTCTTAGAAAAATATAGGAAAAGGAGAGGGAAAGAATGAGAAAAGTGTTTCATCATAGAAATCTGAGGTTGCTTTTTAGCTACACATTAAACACATTAAAGAGAAATCTGGATTTGACTTCTGTCTCTGACAATGGCTGGTTGTTTATTCCTTGGTGAGTTGCTTAGCCTTAGTTTCCTCTTTTGTAAAATGAAGATCATAAAACATGTACTACTGACGACATAAGATTGTTGTGAGGAAAGCAGTGTTTACACTTTAAATTATTGTGAGCTGTTTCTATTGCCGTACCCTGAACTCATCCTACAGCATCATCCTTGGTCAGGGCCTCTTGTGGAATGGTTTAAAAGTGAGCAACTTCTGGTTAAAAGTGGGATAGTGAAAAGTGACCAGATTTAAAAGTGGGAAGCTAGGTGGATAGAGCACCAGGCCTGGAGTCAGGAAGACTCATCTTCATGAGTTCAAATCCAACCTCAGACACTTACTAGCTGTGTGACACTGGGCAAGTCACTTAACCCTGTTTACCTCAGTTTCCTCATCTGGAAAATGAGCTGGAGAAGGAATTGGCAAACCTCTCCAGCATCTCTGCCAAGAAAACCCCAAATGGGGTCACAGAGAGTGGGAGGCAACTGAAAAGACTCAACAACCCCAACATTCTCTTATAAGGCCCTTCTAATCCTATCCCCAAAGCCTCATCATCACAGCGTTCCAAGCTGCAAAGAGAAAACTGAGCCACGCAGCATCCTCGAAAGAAAATCAAAAAACTCTCCAAAATATATTTAGAAAGAGCTTGTGCTTCCTTTAACTGTTTAAGAGTGAGATGGAAGTCGAATTTGATTTTTTATAATTAATTGTGCCTTCAGTTTTTAAACATTTGCCATTCTCTATATCTTACCTTTTTTCTTTTCAGTCCAGACCTATGATTTCATTGCTGTAGAGGTGAGACATCACACACAGCCACAACACTTCCAAATGCAGCTTGGACCAGATTAGAGTTCCTAGCTGATTTTAATGCATTGATGTTTTCATTTGAAAAATCTATGCACATGGATTTTCTAAGTCAACATGTGGTCCTCTCCCTGGGGACTGTTGTACATGGTTTTGTGGTCCCTGTTTCTCTTTGAGTTTGACATGATTGGTATGAGGAAACTACCAGTAAGGAAACTCTCTCTCCCAATTCAGATCAATGCCTGTTCTGCAACGCAGAGTCTTACTTGCCTGGGGCACTGAGAGGGTAAAGGGACCTGCTCCGGGTCACACAACCAAAATGAGCCACTTTGAGTCCTGGTCTTCTGGCAGCCAGGCTGGCTCTTGAACCACTGTGACATGCCACCATTTGCTCAGCAAGGAACTAATCGCATTTCTCCTGCAAGGAAATACCCTACATGTGAGGCCGTAAGGCTTCCTGTCCAAACGTCATGATATATTTTCAACACCCTTGAATTATGGCAGATTCCAAAGACGTCACCAATTGTGCATATAATATGAAAGTCCCTTTAGGGCTCATCATCCCCTTCTCTCTTAAGGTTTCCAGCACTGTGGAGAGCTCCTCCCCTTAGGAAGCAGCCTGCCTGATCATTGGTCTCTCTTGAATAAGATGTAGGTGGTTAGATAACTTAGACCATCTGCTCTTTCCTTCTTCAGCCAATGACTTCTCTTCTGTGATAACCCCGGGTTGGTTTTATGCTCTGCTTCTCTGCAGAGACACTGACACAGAGACTTGGTTCTGTAAGTACAGAAGCAGCCAAGACGACCCCTTGATGAGCCCTAAGCTTAGTCCTGGCTGATGGATCTCCTGACTGCAGGGGCAATTTGTTTCCAAAGGCAGATGCTGCCTCACCTAACTCCCCTGGCCATGCCTTTCCTCCACAAAGGCAGAATGAAGAGGGGATTGTCCGTCCCTGAAAGGATCATAGATTTAGAGTCCAACTTGGACTCCCTGGAGTCCAAGCCCTTCATTTTGCGGGGGAAGAAACTGAGGCACAAAAGAATTGGAAATTGAGAGGATGCCCATCCATTGGGGAATGGCTGAGCAAGCTGTGGTATATGAATGTAATGGAATACTATTGTTCTATAAGAAATGATGAACAGGCTGACTTCAGAAAAACCTGGGAAGACTTATATGGTCTGATGCTGAGTGAAGTGAGCAGAACCCAGAGGACTTTGTATACAATAGCAGTCACGATATGCAATGACTAAGAATGTTAAACTGAACCCTTCTCAGCATTACAAGGATCTAAGACATCTCCAGAGGCCTTGGGATGGAAAATGCGGTCCACATCCAAAGAAAGAACTATGGAAGTCGAATCGCTCTCACTTATTTTTACCTTAAGTTGAATTTTGTTTCATCTTTCTGATGGTTCCTCCTATTGGTTTTAATTTTTACTTACAACTTCACTAATGTGAAAATATGTTTAATGGGTATGTAAATGTAAAGCCTATGTCAGATTGTGCGCCGTCTTGGGGAGGGTGAGGGGGGGGAGAAAAAGGGAGAAAAAATTTTCAACTCAAAAGCATATGGAAAAAAATTTAAAAAAGAAAAGAAAAGAAAAAAGAAAAAAAAAGAAACTGAGGCACAGAGAGGTTAAGAAACTTGCCTAGGGTCACATACTTAATAAATGTCTGAGGTGGGATTTGAACCTAGGTCTTCCTAGGACTCCAAGTCCAGGACCCTATCCACCATGCCAGGCTGCCTCTCAGTATGGGAGCATCGAGGGTAAGAGAGGGAAGAGTCGCCTACTGCAAGCCTTCAATTCAATTCAATCCATCAAGTATTCATTAAGGGCCCACTATATATCAGACAGGGAAGAAGCAGAAGCTCAGGAGAGAGGGAGCCAATCTTGGAGCCAAGAAGCCCCAAAGTTCTAGTTCCACATTGGCCACCAACTGGCTGTGTGACCCTGAACAAGTCACTCCACATCTCAGTGACCCAGGCAACTCTAAGCTCTGAGCTTGCTCTATCAGTAGAATCACAGATTGGGGCAGGGCAAAAAGGCAGCAGGCATGTCCTTAAATGCTACAGATTCAAAGTTAAAACGAAACAGTGGTTGTCCATTGTTTTGCTTTTCTCCAAAGATCACACAAAGCTCTTAGGGAGTGGAGTCTGTTTTGTTCTGTTTCATTTGTTTGTGTGCTTTGCCTTTGTGTCTTTAATGCCTTGTTCAGAATAATTAGGTCGCCTGCCTCAGGACCCTAGGCTGAAAAAGCAGAAGGGATGGCGTCTTTCCTCTGACATCCGTGCTGACTTTGGATGCACATGAGAATAAGAGCTGGGGGGTGGGGGGGGAGGCATATAATGGGAACTGCTCTTTCTTCCCTCCCTCGTGGACAGGTGAGCATCCTAGTGTGACTAACCCTGATTCCAGTCAGAGGACTTAGGGCTGGAAGGCAGCTTAGAGGTCATCTAGCCTTTCGTTTTTTGCAGGCAGCTAGGGGGCGCCATAGTGCACCAGGCTTGAAGTCAGGAAGACTCATCTTGCTGAGTTCAAATCTGGCCTCAGACATTTACTAGCTGTGTGACCCTGGGCAAGCCCCTTAACCCTGTTGGCCTCATTTTCCTCATCTGTAAAATGAGCTGGAGAAGGAAATGGCAAATCGCTCCACTATCTCTGCCAAGAAAACCCCAAATGGAGTCACGAAGAGCCAGACATAACTGAACAATCTCAAGCCTTTCATTCTACAGAGGAAGAAAGGGAAACCTAGGGGAAGTGAACGATCTTGCCCAGGCCGGAATCCAAGCCTGACGCTGGTCCAGTGCCTGTCAGTCCCATTACAACAACCCTTTTCCTACAATGAAAAAACTCCCCACACAGTGACTCATTTGTTCTGACTTATCCTCAAGATGATGCTGTTCAGGCAGCGAACGTCTGCGGTCATGGGCTCTGATGTGAACCTCTCTCTTTCCTTTCAGCATTAACCCTTCTCCTCATAGCTGGACAGCAGGGACCGAACTCAGTCCACAGCGAGCTCTTTCCAGGGAGTTTAATGTCTTTGAATGGAGGGAGGGAGGGGCAGTGTGGTGAGCTAGTCTTCAGCAATAAAGAAAATGGCCTTAGAGGGAGGCCACCGTGTTAAACAGGGACTGAGTGGGCTAATCAGAATGCATCTGCTGAGATCCAAGTCAATGGTCAGGAGTACTCAAGGGGAAAAAAAATAAACTTCATCATGAAAATAAATGGAGGTAGCAAAGTGGTTCTACAAAATTACTTTTCTCTGTTTTCACAGGGACCAACTCCTAACAGAGACATCTTGGGATCCCCACAAACAGTGAAAAGATGCCAAGAACTTGAATCAACAGAAAGACCTAAAATGGCCCTAACTGCTGAGTGACTCTTCTTTCAGCTCCTGAGTGTGAGGAAGGGTTTGAAGTGCCCCTGGCCCAACTGATGTCTCAAAACACAGGCCACACATTCATCCATGAAGATGGACATCAGGGAGGACATTGTGTGTTTCTTGTTCCTCCTGACTCAACCTAGTCTCTTAGTCTGGTTCTGAGCAAGTACTTTATTGCATTTTCTTCTTTCATGCTAATATTTCCTATTACTCAATCCGTTGTAGACTCCCAGATCTCACAGGACAGTTCCTTATCTAAGAGCTAAATCAAGACTTTTTCTGCCATCGGGTTAGTGATGGTGCAATGGGAAGAGTGTTGAACGTGGAATCAGGGAAGCTGAGTTCAAAACCCTGATCTACTGCTTCCTACCTGAGTGACCTTGGATAAGTCACTTAACCACTGTGGGCCTCCGTTTCCTCCTTCCAATGTACCATGAGTGGTTTGACCAAGATGGCCTCTGACTCTTCCCAGATCTAGATCTTGAGCTGTTAGATCCTCTTGCTAGCGTGTTCCCGATCAGCTCTCCCACTGCATTCTCCTGCTTTACTCCTGAGCCATCAGTTTTTCATCAGTGGTCCCAAACCGCCACCCAAAAGAGCCATGTTGCTCAGTCCCAGAGTCACTCTTCTCATTTCATGGATCTTCCCCTCCCTGCAACCTGCTATCGAGGGTGAACAACAAGCTATACCTTCCACAATAAGATCTGCAAGAAATTCTCTACTAAAGGGAGAGGAGATGCTAGGACAAGGCTCAGAAGAGCACTGATTGTCACCAAAAATATATGTTCTATCAAGGGAGGATTAGAAGATTGTTCTGATTTGCTGAATGGAAAAGCCTGTGATGCCAGAAGCTGAATATAAGGAGCAGGAACACTCTGGGCAGTCATTCCCTTCTTCTAGTTGCTTCCCATTGGCCTCAGGAGACAGCTCTCCTCCCAGGAGATGAAGGATGAAGATAGGACTCAGAGCAATAAGAAATGCTCCTCAACTCTTAGATTAGAAGGGAATAAATGCAGTCACCTCATTACCGTGAGGTCAAGGGAATTAACCGAGAAGTTAGGGCTAAGTCTCTCTGTGAGCCATTGTACTTTTCTGCTATCTTCAGAGCTCCCCAAGAAGTAAGGATGTCTTTGCCTAGGAAAAATGCATGGAAAGTTTATGGGGGAATTATAACCTGTACAGACATAATTACAGAGCTCAAGCATGGATAGTGGAACCATTTTATTTTTATTCCCAAAGAAAACTGAAAATGAATCTGATTTGAAGACAATCTACTTCACAATCTTAGGTGCTGAAAGTGGATTGGAAGCAAAACTTGGCTGAAAGAAACAAGCAAAAAGAGTCAATTACCAGACCTTTCTGAGTTTTCTAAGTTAGCTTGGGGACGTTTTGACCAAAATTGTCATGGTTCACCTTTCCTCAGAGCACTGAGGACACCCCCAGAGTAATAGTCTCGCACCTTCATCTATTGAGTCACCCATCTGCAAAGCACTATGCTAGACAGTTGTATAGGAGAGCCCAGAGAAAAGGCAGCTACAGTCCCAAGGACTGGCTAATCTAGCTCTGTTTTTAAAAAATAATCATGAAATCAGATGAGGGAGGCAACTGTCTTTAAACTTTATACTGGAATGTAAGCTCCTTGGGGGCAAGGACTGTGTCTTTGTATCAAGGGGCAGCATGGTGTAGTGGATAAAGTAGGCTTAGAGTCAGGAAGACCTGGCTTCACATTCCACCTCTGCCACTCACTAGCTGGTGTGGCCCTAAGCAAGCCACTTAACATCACCTGCCTCAGTTTCTCCATCTGTAACATGAGGGGGGCTGGGCTCAGTGCTCTCTAAGGCTCTTTCCAGGCCTAAATCTTAGATCCTATGCACCTACCAGAGTGCCTGGCACATAGTAGGCACTTCATAAAGATTTGCAAGTTGGATTGGATTGAATATATTCACTGATGTTCTTGCTGCCTCTCCTTTGCAAATTTCCATTTTAGATGGAGAAGTAGGGCAGTCACTGACCAGCCTGTGAGCCGCCCAAGACCAGGAGCATGAAAGCACATCCCTGTTTGGATGGGACGCCTTCTCCCCCCATCAAAGGTGACCCTGATTCAGGGGACATTAGAGAGACACATTTCGGCAAACCTCAGGATTCACTCGTGGGAAAAGGAGTCACTCTTCAAAGGGTGGTGGGAACAGTTTCTCCATGCCCTAGCTTACTTGTAGGAAAGTGCAGCTTTTTATAATGTCATTAATAAGATGGCTCAACAAGCATTGTAAAGTAGCTCGAACCCAAGGTGCTATGGTACCAAATAGCTCCGATGTAACTCATTCCAGCTCCTGGCAATAGCCACGTAATCTAATTAAGTATAGAGTTCGGCTTGGCTTCAAAGTTTACCTATGAATTAAATGTTATACGAATTGTAACGTGTGGCCTCCTGGTTTCTTTTGAGTGGAGAACTTGGAATTCTAACTCCGTGGGCCCAGTGGGGGCTCTCTCTGCACTGCTCTAGTTACCAAGGGCACCTAACAGTCAGCTTGGTCTCTTTTCCCTCTGGGACCTTAGGGAAGTCTCTCCACTTCGACTCTTGGCTGCTGTTTCTCGCTATGTAAAAGGAAGAGCAGGCAACCTCCATCTCAGCTAAGTCCCCCCTTCTGTCCCCCTTCATGCCTCCCCCTCTGATCATCTCCATTTCATCTGGTTTGTCCGTGGCTCTTTGCAAGATGCCTCCTCCATCAGACTGTGAGCTTCTTGGGGCCAGGGACTCAGGTTTCGCCCAGGATCGAGCACAAAGTCGGCTCTGAACAAATCCTTGCTGGCCTGACTTGCAAGCCTTAAAGCACTATGTAAACGCTGGCTGGTGCATTCTTTAAGTCCAACTATTCTGCATTTGTTTTGTGAAAAGTCAAAGTGCGCAGGTTACCAGAACTGCCCATTGACCAGCATCCCAGAGCACGAGTGATCCAACTTTGCCTGGGGCACAAAAGGGCACTTCCTTCACTTCCATTGGTGACCTGCATCTCTTTAGCTCCTGTGAGTCAGGAACTAGAAGGTGGGGGGAGGAGGGACCAGAGGGCCATGGAGGAAGACGTTCCACCCCCTTCTAGACTGGGGAAGAAGGCGGATCGTGGGGCCAGACGTTAACACCTGGGAGGGCCCTTCAAGGCCATCTGCTCCAACCTCCTAGTTTTAAAGAGGAGGTAACTAAGGCCTAGTGTTAAAGGTTGTGCCCAAGGTCATATAACCTTCAGGACTTGAGAGCAATGTCACTATAGGGAAGGGAGCAGGGATGAACAACAATGGGGGGAGGGGAAGAGTCACTGGAAACCACCTCCTCATTCTGTGCACCCCATCAAGCAATACCCCACCAACAGCGACAGCCACACCTGCCTGGCCCTAATTCCAACGTAGCCACTCGACTCTGGAGAGGATGTGGAGGCAAGGAGAGAGAGGGAAGGAGAGAGGCATACCAGTCCACTTTTTCCTCCCTCACCTTCCAAGGTCTCTCCCTCCCCTAGCAGGTGGGGAACGGCTAGATATGGAGCGAGGCAAATGAAGGACAGTGTTAATGTCAGCTGGGGCTGGGGAAGGGGTTCTTTCTCCCCATTCTAGATCTGGCTGGAATATGATCCCACCCATCCCCCAGGGACAGTACGGCGGTAACCTTCTGTCCACTGAGACCCCCTCTGAAATCACTGCTTTTCTCCAGGGCCACCCCCTCCTTAATGGTCCCAGGAACTACTGGATTTATTCCAAAACACTTCTCAGTATTTTCTGAGTCCTGGGCCCCTTGACAGTCATTAAGTGAGTGCCTATGGACCCCCTGTTCAGAACCAAGTTTTTACAGGCAGAAAAATAAAACACACAGAACTACCAAGAGGTCAGCTATATTGAAAAAGTTATCAACCTGTTTCAACAAAAAAGGTTGCAGACCCGACCTGGAGCCCTGCCTGGATGCATCAGTTACTCCTGAAGAGCTATTCAGCCCTGCCTTTACCTTAGAGAATGAGCTTGTTTGTGCAGACCAAAGGTAAGAAGAGGTTGGCTCCAATGTGGGGAGCACACTGCCCTCCAATCTCAAGGAGATGTCCTTTGACTGAGTGGTTTAGAACCAAAGCCCCAATTTAGTCAGACCGATTTCAGAGAATGAGGACGTATTGTGGAACCCTGAAGAACCCTAGAAACTCTGCTTTACTCAACCACATTTTAAAAAAATGCTCAAGCTGCTTTTGGGGGAGGGGGAAAGTGGAATTTAATATAGTGACACTATAACACACACATAAATTGTCAGCAAACATATATATATAGTATATATATACATATATGTGTATGTATATATACATATATATGTGTATGTGTATATATACATATACATATACATATACATATACATATACATATACATATACATATACATATACATATACATATACATATACATATACATATACATATACATATACATATACATATACATATACACACACACAAAAGGCATAAATAGTAAAAATCCTTTACAGACCATAATGCAATAAAAATCAGTTTAGGTAGCACAGACAAAAGACCCAAACCCAAATTAATACTTAATAATCAAATCTGAAATAATGAGTAGGTCAAAGTACAAATCTTATATGAAAACTACATGAAAGACAATAATGAAAAAATTGCCCAAATTTGTGAGCCACAGCTAAAGCAGTCCTTAGCAGAACAAAAATACTTTAACAAAACGGAAAAAGAGAGAATAAATGAACTTGGTATGCATTTTTACATTACAAATAAACCCAAAATAAGCACAGAATAAGAAGTAGTAAGAGGAGAAATAGCAAAATTTTTGAAAAAAAAAATGCTGTAGAAATGATGAGTAAAAGCAAATGTTGCTTCTTTGAAAGGACTAACGACCAAGGTTTATTAAGTACTAAGTGCCACATGCAGTGCCAAGGACACAGACAAAGGCAAAAGCACAGTGGCTGCCCTCAAGGAGCTCAGAATCTGGTGGGGAGAGACAAGATGCCAAAACTCCTTACATACAAGATATATATAATTTAACCAGGAGATGATCTCAGAGGGGAGGCACGAGTGTGTGTGTGTCTGTGTGCATGTGTGTGCATGTGGGGGGGGGGGAGGCAGAGGGAGAGGGAGGAGAGGAGGACCAGGAAAGTCTCCCTGCCAAAGGTGGGATTTGAGGTATCCTGAAGGAAGCCAGACAAGATAGGAGTCAGAGGTGAAGAGGGACAGTCTTCCTGGCATGAAGAACAGCCAATTAAAAGGCACAGAGGAGTGAAAGGGAGGGTCGTGGAGGTCGGGTCACTGGATGGAAGAGAACATGTCAGCGAGCGAGGTCTAAGAAGACTGGAGAGGGAGGAGGGGGCCGGGTTGTAAAGGACTTTAAAAGACAAACAGAATTTTATATCTGTTCCTGGGGGTAATAGAGAGCCACAGGAGATTAGTGAGTATACTGGTAACGCAGTCAGACCCTTGCTTTAGGAAAATCACTTTGATGGCTGAAGGAAGGATGGACTACAGTGGGGAGAACCTTGAGGCTGGTGGACCCCTGCAGCTATTGCCGTAGTCCAGGCATGATGCAACCAGGGTCTGCACCAGGGTTGGGGCAGAGTCAGAGGAGAGAAGGGGGTGTGGCTATGGTGGGAAAAGTAAAAAAGTAAAGATCTGAGGAAGACACCAAGGTGGGGAGCCTGGATGATGGAGAGGATAGTGATGTCCTCTACAGTAATAGGGAAGCGAGGAAGAGAGAATTTTGGGGAAAAGATAATAAGCTTTGGATATGATGAGCTTGAGATGTCTACAGCACTTCCAATTCAAGTTGTGCAGCAGGCAGCTGTTAATGCAGAGCTGTAGCTCAGAAGAGAGACTAAGCCTAGGTAAATAAATCTGAGGATCATCTGAGAGATGAGAACTGAGGAGCTCACCAAGGGAGACAGTCTAGACAGAAAAGAGAGGGCCAAGAACAGGCTCTTGGGGGCCAAAAACAGTTGATGGGCATGACCTGGAGGCAAATCCAGCAGAGAAGACAAAGAAGTGAGCAGAAGGATAGGAGGAGAACCGGGAGAAAATAATGACAGGAAAATACAAAACCAGAGGGGTGAGAAGATCCAGAAGAAGAGGGTGATGAACAGTGGAACCAAAAAGGATCAGGACTGGGAAACAAATGGGACAAATAAGAGAGAAAAACTTTAGAGAAAGTGACTTTAGAGGAAGACTTTGAAGGAAAGTTTCAGGTGAGTGATGAGTCAGACGGCAGAGATGGAGAAGATGTGCAGGCAGGCACAACTGGAGACGGACTTCTCGAGGACCTTAACCACAAAAAGGAGGCGAGAGGTAGGATGGTAACTAGTGAGACTGTGGGATCAGGTGAGGAGTTTTTCAGGAGGGAAGCAGCCAGTAGATAGGGAGGGATTGAGAAAGCAGGAATGATGGAGGGGCTGGAGGAGAGAGGAGGGAATGGAATCACTTGGGTTGGGTTTGTGTTGGCACAGAGAAGGGTCACTTCTTCAGGTGAAACAAGGTTAAAAGAGGGGATACTTCAGGAAAGCATAAGAGTAATTCTAAGTGAGGAAGGGGTGGGAAGAGGGAACTCATGGTAAATGGCCCTATTCTTTTTCAGTGAAGTATGAGGCAAGGTGGAAGCTAGGGGGGCACCATAGTGCCTAGAACACTAAGCCTGGAGTCTGAAAGACTTGT